CGGCATTTGGACATGCTGTTCTAGCTTCTACCTTGGTGTGACACCCCGCCTCTGGGGAAGACAGCTTTTTAGTCACCCAGGGTGTGATTCAGAGGCCATGAAGAAGAACGACAGGTTACCCACCTGTAATTGTAGTTCTTCGAGTGGACCTTTGTGATTCACACATCCCGCCCGTCTTCTCCTCTGTCACGCCATTAAGCAGCGGGTTGACACATCTGAAAGGGGACGCTTGGTGCCAAGGTACTGTACTTATACGGGTCGGCAGGGGCTTATTCTAATGTGTTTATTGCTACCGCAGAAGCTCTAGAATCTTCTGATGAGGCTCTGCACAGGTGCGAATCCCCCAACGTGTGAATCACAGAGGTCCACTCAAAGAACTACAATTACGGGTGGGTAACCTGTCGGTTCTACAGTCCTGCACTCAATTAAACACAGATTTCTGTGTGGTGTCCCAGTTATATTGTCTTCCATTCGCAACCTTCCTGTTGATGGCATTCCAGATGCACACCCAATTGCACTACAGGCACATGCCTAATAATGTGACCATGGTTAATTGTGCAATTTTACTTACATTTGTGTAAATCACCAACAGGAATCTGGCCACTGTGTTGGAGATATAATATTTCCTTTTCCTCTTCTCCTCTGCTTCACATCCTCCTTTTGGTATTGCCTCCTTTTTTGTGGGCTCTTCCCCTTACTCTCCCTGATCCTATGCCTCTTGAAAATTTCAGGGGCCTGGAAACAGTTCCCCGTGGCTGGTCTGTATCCATGTTCACAGACCAGGTGTGGCATGACCTACCAGGCTGTGACTTTGTGCTGGATCTCATTGGACAAATAGAAGAAAGCAACTGGCCCTCTGATTCCACCCCAGAATATCCCATAACCCCAGAATGGGATAAAAGCTCCTTCGAACACAAGGCTTCAGATAGGTGAGTAAAATTTCCTTTCTTCCTTCCATCTTAAATTCATGGAAATCTTACTTCTCTTGTGACTTTGCTGGCTTTCTTTTTTGGGCAGGACATTCTTGAACATACCTCCAGCACCAAACATTAAGGCTCCTTCCTTCCCTCCTCCATCCCTGCCTCCAGATTTTGACAGCAGTGCCCACTCAGGTGAGCTCCTGTCTTAGGACATGGTTTCAAGTGCCTCTTAGCAACAGAGGGGTATATGCAAAAATGGTCATCTCTGGTTTCTGGAGCTTGAAGCTATGAGGACTCTGTGTGAGTGTTCAACCAGGAAGTCCCACTTGTGACTGAGGTATTTATAGCAAAATAGTGCTTCCCAGCAAAGAGTTGATCCTGAAATCCTACATTGCTGGAAACTCAGAATTTTACATGGTGTCCTAGGTATTTGCAACCCTTCTGTGTTTTCTCAAAGATGAACCAGATCCATACATGCCTACAATGTTTCTTTATTAACAGATCTAGGATCCTTTCATGTGAAACTATTGAAGTGTTGAGAATGTAAAATTAGCTAGGAGAAATGGGTGCTGTAGATTTTGTGTGGGTGGGTGGGTGGGTGTTATTAGATTTTTAAGATCTTTTCTCCCATACTCTACATTCCCCTCCCAGGGTCAACCACCAGTTCAAGATCCACGAGAGAGCTTGATTACTATGTGGATGACCTCTTTAGGCCACTGTCCAGGGCTCATCTGTCGGTAAGTTCAAGGTTGCTTCATTTCCTGCTCCTTTTCTCTTACAATAAGAATGATTAACTCAGGGATCCATGCCTTTACCATCAGACTTGTATGGAAATGAGGAACAGCATGGGCTGTGGATTGTGCCCATTGGGGTTAATGTATCAGAAGGCATACTACTAGCCAATGATCAACAGACAAACCTAAGGACAAAACCGAGCATGTGAGTTGGATAAGTTGTCTACTGAGTCTTTTTCCCTCTTTGCAGGATATGGAGAATGAGGGAGGTTTGACAGAACGCATGAAAGGAGGTGGCAAAATCGGGCCGAATCAGCAGGCAGGCTTTCCAGGTGAGACGGGAGGGGAGAACCAAGGTTTGGCGCCAGGTGGGAAAGTGCTGCGCCTCATCACAGGTTGTTTCTTTCAATGGATGTTCACAGTGGCTCTTCTTAGGGCAGGGTTCCAAATGCAGCTAAATAGCATATAAAAGTCCCGTTTTCTAGAATTTGAAGCTACGAGAGCTAAATGTCATTGTTCACTTAGATTTGGACTTGCAGGTGGAATTTCTATAGTGAAAATTACCCTTGAAAATATGTTTTTTATTCTACAGTTGTTCTGTTTCAAACATGGAATTTGGCATGGGACCCTGATGATGTCTGTCTTCTATTTACAACCTTCTATATTTTCCTGCTGCCTATGCTTTTTTTTTATTACAGTGAAGGCTGGTGGCTCTCACATTAGTGGGTCTGTAAATTCACTCCAGGGTTTACTCTATGCTTCACAGGACCTGTTAAAGTTACCAAAATCTGTCCCTGAGATAGGTTCAGCTTATTTGGAGTAAACACCAGAGTGATTCATCGCCTGCCTCCATTGACATCAGAGACACAAGCCAGCAGTGGTTTGTTAGACAATCCTAAACTCCTCTGTGGAATTAGGCCGGCACAAACATCAAGCTAATTAATGCTGTTGGCATTGACTGCTAATACTTTAGATTTTCTGGTATTTGGTAGGTGTAGCTATATGAAAAATGTTTTGGCCTCTCAAGGGTTAGGGATAGGGTCAAAGGCTGAATATGATACTGGTTTACTTGTTGGGTTTTGGGAAGTCACACACGCATGTATCAATGTTTGCACACACATGGACCAGTGATCCTCTTCCATTGCATGAAGGAATAGGAGGGCTTTCTCCCACCTCCTCCCTCAATAGTCCTTTGTTTGCTCACTGGCAGTAACCACCACCAGCAGCAACCATGGGAGGAGAGCCATCTTGATTAAATCAATGAGAAATGGATGGTGGTGGGGAATTTGGGGACATCAGCAGGGTGGGGTCAGAGCACTTCTGTAGGGAGGTCTTAGGGCCTGGGGCCTGCATGTGGCTCCTGGCCACAGGGAGTGCACCCTTACTTTCATATGCAGTTCAAGATGTGGATGTCTGTCAGGCCTGGAGGATTGCAGCTCTTCCAGACTGAGACTCCCAACATCAACAATATCCTTCCAAGACTTGGGCTTGCTGTGCCAAAGTCTCTCTCACTCCAGCTCCAGCCCCAGTGAGGTAGAAAACTTGGATCTTTTTCTATTAACAATAAGCATTTCTAAGAGTCCTCTGCCTTCTCTTTTCATTTGCAACGCCATTGCAGTTTATTTCTCTGCAGAATGAAATGGCTTTCCTTCCTCAGAGTCAACCAGCAGGAAGCTTTTTTTCTCCTTCCCTCAGGATCTCAGCATGTTCCCGGTTGTCTTGTTGACTATCTTCCTTATCTGACTTGTAAGAAGATGCTATAGCTTAGATAGGGGCTTATAGGCCTGAGCATTTTAAACCCTTCTTTGCTGCTGCTTTATTGCTTTCCCAAACTTCTCTAGTCATTCAATTAATTAGCCTGTCTCTGAATCACAGCCAAGGGTTTACTTTCATTGTGTGGAATTTCTGCTGTCCTTTTTGAGGAAGATATGCAGTGAGGTACCAGAAAAAGCCTTTGCTGTTGTGTGTCTATGTGTAACATTTTTTTAGTTTCCTTGTGATGAGCAAATATGATTGCTAAGCAAATTATCTATTTTAATATGATGGATATGGTCAGTAGTTTAAGTATAAGGTATACTGTTAAAATATTTGAATGCATGAAAAAGTTCTGTTTATTTATGCCTCCTCTGTTTACCTGCGCCCCACACTGCCATTAACAGAAACAAAATTTGTCCAAGGTGTGTGGGTAGAGTCGTCAGTGAATTTTGTTGATAGGCTTGGAGGTCAGTTTTGCATGAAGACAGCCTTTTTCCTTCTGTCCCTCAGGCTACTCAGGGATGATGACTGTGCCAGCTTACCCATCTGTCATGGGGGGAATGATGCCTACAACGATGCCAGTCATGTCTGGGCTAGGTGGAATGGGAGCCATGCCAGGTAATTAAAAAAAATCAATCAGAAAATAGATTAAGGCAAGAATGGCAATCATGTGAAGATTTCTGGAGAAGAGAAGGCCTTTGTTTGCTCAATCCTATGCTGTTGTTATGTGCCTTCAAGTTGTTTCTGAATTGTGGCAACCCTATGAAGAGCTTTTTCTTTTTTAAAAAAATTATTTTTAAAATGATGCCAAATTCTCCAGCCCCATGCCATGCCAGGAAGAAGTCTGTTTGGTTGTTCTGTTATGCGGAAGGGGCTGCATATTAGAAACATGCTATGTCTGTGACTTTGTCATTCTCTCACTCTCTCTGTCTCAGCTATGGTTATGCCACAGCCTCAGCCTGTGGTGCCGTCGGTGGATCCCAACCAAATGGCAGCACAACAACAAGCCTTCATCAACCAGCAGGCCTTGCTTCTGGTGAGAGAGAGAGAAAAAAAAAGATTTAACATGGGGATGGGGATAGTGTGGAACTCCGGATGTTGGATGGCCACTCCCATAGCCTTTATCCTTGGCTATGCCGCTGGCTAAGGCGAGTGGAAATGGCAGTCCAGCAATATCTAGAGGGTGTATAATGAACATTATAAACTTAGAATTGCTGCTTTCTTTTCCATGATCTTCCTTTGCCTGCCAGTTAGTTTTGTCTGCACACAGCCACCGGAAGAAATTATTTGTTATAGGACAAAAGCCTAAAGAGAGTATCCTCTGATCTAGTGTCAGATTTTAGAGCTGCTGGTTTCAGGACCTTCTTATTGTCTCCTTTCTCCATATAGAGAACATATTAAAACTATTTCTGTAAGAGAAAGCTGGGAAACTTGTGGCCCACCAAATATTCCTGTCAGCCTCTGCAGCATGGCCAGTGGTAAAAGGTGATGAGAGTAGTTGTTCATCAGTATCTTGAGGGCCCACTCCTGCTAATAAGATTTATTTCACCTTTCTGTTGCATCTTGATATAAACCTCCCTGTCCTATACTGCATATGAAATCAAATAGCCTGAACTGGCCAGTATGAGGTGTGTGGAAACTAGATCCACTTGTTTTTCATGAAGTCTAGTCTGTGTGTACTTAGGACTCAAGTGAATGTGCCTTGACCATCACTTCTGCCAGTACTATCACTTCCTTTTGTTTTTGTTTGACGTTTTCCTTTTAGGAGGAGAGAGAATAGCAGGAAAAGCAACAAAGAGAGGGAAAAGATGGGCATGTACACTGGGGCAGGGTGGGGGAAATCAGAAGTGAACACCTTGTTTTAAGGGAAGGCTAAATGTAATTTGAGTTTTGTGAATGTGAAGACTGTTAGTAAAATACAACAATCCAACTGGATACCCCCAGATGTTTTGGACTACAGTCCCGTCTCTGCAGTGAGCATTGCCATTGGTGACGGAGCTGCAGTTCGAAACATCTGAAGGGCTTCAGGTTGAAGGAAGATGGACCCTGTGCCATGAGTATGAGTGCCCAGGGCACTTGAGAATAATGAAGTATTTGGTGTTGCAGGCTCAGCAGATGACTCTTCAAGCCATGACAATTTCCCAGCAGCAGCGAGAGCGACAAGATCTGCAAAGGGAGAGGTCCCTGGAGTCCTCAAGACCAAGGCGATCATCATCATGGAAGAGGTCCCCTGAATTTCCAAGGTCACGGAGAGCTTCGCCACCAAGTTCACCTGAATTTCCAAGGCCAAGGCGAGCCTCACCAAAGAGGAGGTCACCAGACTCTTCAAGGCCAAGATATGCATCTCCCCAGCGGAGATCTCCTAAACTGTCAAGAGCAAGGCAAGGGGCACCAAGACAGAGGTCACCGGAGGAATCATCAAGGACAAGGCGAACAGCATCACAGGAGCATTTTCCTGAATCTTCAGGGCAAAGACAAAATTCCAACTTCACTAACAAAGATGTCTCAGTGCCTGACTTACCCGCGTCTCCACTCAAGCCACCAGCACTGGTACTGAGTTCAGTGTGTCCCAGAAATTACCATCCCCTTTGGATAACCTTTTCTGAGCAGCATAAGAGGAGTGGGCAAAATGTAGCAGGGTGGTGATTAGTTTTAAAGTTTAGGGATTTCATCCTGACCATCCTTATAGGCTAAAGAGAATCCCAACATGTAGGCAGCTGAGTTGATCCATATCAATAAGCTGTTTCTTATCCAGGAACAATATTTCTGGACAGCCTACGAGTTGCAATGGTCCATTCAAAACCAAGCCGCCACCAAATACTTTGCATAACATCCAACACAATTCGCACCAAGATAATTATTGCTGAGGGAAGTCGTCCTTCTCCGCCCCCATCACCACCACCACCTCTGCAGCTCAGCTTTGAGAGAAGAGGGGGACGCCTGAAGTGGGTGGCAGATGATATTAATTCTCCCCTCTAATCAGAAGGTCCTGGCATTTAGACCCTTTGTCAAGCCTTGGCTTCCCTACACTGCTGATCAGACAAAAAACAAAAATGCTTCCTTAGTTCAGTATGTGAGGCTTAACAAATGACATTCCCCAAGTACGGTTTAGACTTGTGTTTTTCCTCTGAGGAGCTTGCTGTGGCATATGTAGGGCTAACCCATTCTCCTTGTGGTTTCTCACCAGTATGCTCAAATAGCAGAACAGAGCATCTGCTGTCATCAGTCTAAGCCCTCTGTTGGTACATAGAAATAGTAAATACATTTTAAAGTTTTTGTACCAATTTATATTATTCCTGGAACTGACCATACAGCCACAAATTACATTATTTATTGGGAAAGAAAACAAACAGAAGGATGTATCCTTGGAAATGAGTTGGATACATCAGTATTTCAGTTCAGTATTCTTTTCCAGTTGAGTACCTGATAACCTTATGTGCTAAAGGGGGATGGGTGTGTCAAAAGAGGTATATTTGCATACTTTATTTTTTAGTATTTTTATTTTAATTTTTTAATGCAGTGGTTATGAACCCTAAATACCTATTTATTTTGCCCCCTCCCCATGGTACTTAGGGTGGCCATGGAATATTGTTGCAGTCCATTAAACAAAAACTTGCCTGTGCCTCAGAAACCTAATGCACCAGGGAGAATTAGAATCCTTTCCCTGATACTTAGTTTTATATGTCAAGGGATTTATTCACTTCTAAAAGAGGAACATCCAGTCAGGTATGTGCTTTTCTGTACTTTCAATTTCTACTGTCCAGAGGCACTTTTACCATTCTGTAAAAAATGGGCTTAAATTTTTGACATGTGCCCAAAATACAAACTAGGAGATGGCCATAAAAATACAAGCAATGGAGAAAGGGCTGCTGAGTGTTTATATTTAATATTACATTATCTAGAGCAGTGGTCCCCAATCTTGGGCCTCCACAAGTTCTTGGACTTCAATGCTCAGAAATGCTGGCCAGCAGAGGTGGTGGTGAAGGCTTCTGGGAGTTGTAGTATAAGAACATCTGGAGGCTGACAGTTGGAGACCACTGATCTAGAGCCGTGGTCCCCAACCTTGGACCTCCAGATGTTCTTGGACTTCAACGCTCAGAAATCCTAGCCAGTAGAGGTGGTGGTGAAGGCTTCTGGGAGTTGTAGTATAAGAACATCTGGAGGCCGACAGTTGGGGACCACTGATCTAGAGGGATGGTTCACTGACAGAAGAATTAAGAGTGGAACAGGTGTGGGTGGTGTGGGGATCATTACAAATCAGAAGAACTGCTTGGTTGTTGTTTTTTTTGGTTAATCTGTTGTGATAAGATGGTTCCCAGATCATGCCCTACTCCAGACCTGTATTTTGAGAAGGCAGATCTGGAAGTGAATCTGAAACCTGCAACTGAGCTTGTTCCATAAACCAGAGGCACCAAATAATCTGCCTCTGCATAAAATAGTAGAGGTGAGGTCAGGGTCTAGAATCATTCAGTGAGGCCTCACTTAGGGCTTCTTCTGTATTCTAGATCCAGATTTTTAAAGAAGAACTGTACCCAGACGTGAAGGCAGACTCCCTTTCTAAAGGGAGTTTCCAGAAGAAGGTTGAGTTTTTCCAGAAAATCGGTGAGTCGCCTTCTGCTGTTCCTTCCTTTATTTTTATCATGTTGGTATTTCCTAACTTTCCTTACCAATGGAAAGTGTTTTTCTTGTTACTGTTTTTTTTTGTTTCCTGCTCTGTTCTGTGGTATGTCTTTTTACGTATTTTGCTTTGTATGTGTCTGAGTGTATTCCTGGTTTGTTTATTTATTTAAAATATTTTTACCACACTTTTCTCCTTAAAAGGGTATAAACAGTATGCCTAATTCTCAACAGGGAAATAAATAACCCTAAATAAAAATGGGTGCTTGCATGATTACCTCAGCTGACATATCAACCTTGAGCTTCCTTCTAACTGTTTGGGATCAGGAAAATAATTTCCTCAGTCCTTAAGAACATTGATTCATTCTCTGTAGCATGCGACATGCTTTACAATCCCATGGATGTATTTTATTTAAATCTTTCCTACTTTCTTTGTGTAATATTATAACCGTAAAAATAAAATAAAAATGATGTCGCAATCTATTTATCTTATCAAACCATCTCTAAGAATGTGTTTGATTTCTTAAGTCTCTTCTAGTCTCCGTGGACTGTTCTACAGTATTTGGTGCTTCTAACTGGACAGATGCCAATAAGCTCAGAGATACTATGATTTAAATCTTACTGCTTTGTTAACCTATGGAAGGCAAATACCATCATGTTCAGCAGCTTCTAATTAGCAATTGACAGGGCACACCACCAAGAATGATAGCTAGAAGCAAGTGAATGTTACACATTTTGCACACATAGCAAAGCAATGAGATTTCTGCCTATGTATTTAAGGGGATCCTCCAGTGCTTGACCTTCCTTCTCTCCACAGGGCAGCATGTGGAGACTCCTGTGAAGAAAGAAACTCCCCCTTCCAACAAGTGGAGTCGTCCAAAACCACTGCAACCAGAGGAACAAGAGAGGCCTCAAACAGCAAGCTCAGAACCAAGTTCAGGTACGGCCTGGCCAAATATAGCCAAAACATATGTCAGAAGACCATGCACAAAGTAAGGTGGCCCTTCCAATAGCCAGTTCCTCAAAACTGCTGGAAGAAAGCAAAGAGTAACATAACACCTGGAGGGGGAGGGAATTGTACGCGTATAAATATTTGCAAATAATGGTCAGATTTATTATATGGACAAAGTGTTCCAAGAAGGTAATGATGACACACAGGCATATTAACGTGTTGAGGATTACTAAAGCTGACCATCATCTGCACTGAGCAACCAGGGCTTCTCTGTAGCTTTAATTTTCTGTTCTCCCCCACCTGCTTTTACCTGCTGGGGAACATGGGTGGGCAACATCTGGCTGGATGTTGGACTACAACTCTGATCATTCCTGACAATTTACTATCTTTGTCAGGACTGGTTAGAGTCTCTACCTCTCTCTCTCTGCTTTTTAAACTAGCTTCTTACTTCTCCTCAGGATTGACACCTCCTACACAGAAGAAAACTGAACCAACCCACGAGATACGGAGCATTGTCCAAACACGTCCACTCCCACCACCAAAACCTGACAAGCCTCTTAGGTGAGAAATGGGCTTGGCTTGCTAAAAGCATTATACCACTTCTGTAAGATGTCTGTAGAGGCAGATACCCCCACAGTCGCTGGCCAGAGAACCTCCAAACCTTTCATGGGTTTCTGTGGCAGATGAGCTGGCCCTGCCTGGACAGTGAACCTCCAAAAGCAGCTAACCAACAAGTCACTGCAGTCCACACAAGCAGAGGTCTTAAGACATTCTCCTTCCAGCACAGGAGCAGTAATAGTGCTGCTGAAAGTACATATGAGGAGGACATCTATAAAGAGGGTCTCTGAGGGTAGGCACACTGTTGTGTATGATTCATTGTTGCTTCATTCGGTGGACTCACAAAAGCATTTTTTTAAAAATTTGGCTTGCAGAAATGTCTCAAAGCCCTTTGTGAAAAAGAAGGATCCAAAGGAGGAGGCTCTGGCAAAGCTGGGGATGGTGGGATTGAGTCCTTCACCGGTGAGTCTTCTTTGCTACTTCCATCCCAGTACTGACACATCTGTAGCTGTTAAGGGTCTTGCAGTGGCCAAAGCTCTGTCAGAACTGACAAACCCCGTGTCACTCTGGGTGGCCTTGGGCAACTCGTGATCTATCAGAATAGTGTGCCTGACAAAACCGGGAGGGTAAAAATAGTATAAACCCACATATCCCCCTCTGAGCAATGTGGAAGGAAAGTTGGATAAAAGTGTAATAGGTAAATAACAAAAAAATAATAATTTATTGAGGAAGTCAGATCTCTTGGCTTTTCTTGACACAGGCTATGTGAGATCACTGTTGCTACTATGTTTACACCTTTGCTTTTGGAGCACTTCTAAGAGAAGCTTAACAGGGTGGGTTGGAAAGAGGTTTGTGAGCCTGACTTGAGAATTGGACGATTCACCACCGACTCTAAAGAATGTGGCTTTGGAAAGTAAAAACAAACTATAATTGCCTTTACGATGTCTTGCAGTGTGAAGGATGAGTTGTTATTGATTTGGTTATTTTGTTTAAAGCTCCAGTCAGGACTATTTGCAGAGTTATCCAGTGAGGTGGGTAAACTGATGCCTCTTGACTTTTGTGACTGGGCGGAAGGTGGTAATAGCTGAGTTGCATGAAGTAGTGTACTCTTCTGTATCCCATGTGTTTGCCATACACTGCTAGCTATAGGATATTTGAGAGAAACTGTAATCTTGCTGGTGTTACCTGTGGCTATTTGTGCTGCTTTCTTCTTCTTTCTTTCCGCCCCCCCCCGCCCCAGCTACCTTCTGCATCGCCTGAGAGGAACTCTCCTCCTCCACAAGCACCACCTGCCAAGCTGTCCAGCTCCATCAAGGAAAAACAGCTGCCCCTCATGAATCTCTTTGCTCGACCCTCACCCATCTATCCTCCAGCTTCAGCTTCTGAGCTTCCTCCCCCCACTGCGCCACTGCTGCCCCCACCTCCACCATCCTTTCCTTCAGAGAAAACCACCGTGGAAAAAACTAGCTTGAAAGGTAAGGTCCTGCAACCTTCTCTTTGTGCAAGTTTCTATTGGCAAAGATGGGTGACTTGGTCCTGTTTGTAATAGGCATTATGAGTGCTTTCTCAATGGGAGACAACCAGTGGCAAGTATTCAGTTTATTACTTACTGGACATGGATATTTTTTCAGGACTGATCCCCTCTGATTCAGAAATCAAATTATTTTTAATAATTGGGGCTGATATATTCTAGTCTTACATGTTTCTAATGGCAAAAAAATAAAGTTATAAGCATGAAACAGTAGGTTTTTTTCCAATATGCATGTTATCTATTTTTCAGACCAGCTTTTTTATATTAGGCTTTACTATTTCAAATAATAAATTAACCTGGAGGTCTAGTACTGAAAGGCGGTGTACAATTGCACCAAAAGAGGAAACAGTATCCTTTTAATCATAACTTAATTTTGTGTGAATTTCCTCTGAGACTTTGTGAAGAGTCTGGGTTATAAAAGCGTGCTTTTATAACCCAGACTCCTTTATAAAGCTTTTATAAAGTGAAACAGTTTTTTTTTTTTACAAAACTAGACAAGGTCCACTTTATTTATCTAGAAGAGAATATGATATGAGACAGCAAAAATCTCAGACGTGGCACAAAGTCTTAGCTGTAGGCTCCTTTGAACGTTCCTTTTGGTAAAAAGGGACACATAAGGGCTGGAACAAATACAAAGCTACTTACCTCATGTCTGTCACATTTAGGCTCAGGTAGGACAATGATGGACGATGCCCATGTGAAAACTCAGCTCATCAATCTCTCTCCTAGTGTCGGCTTCTCCTATGTTAACCCCAGTTGGAAACTCTTCCTCCGCAAAGAGGTATGTCAGAACCTGTCACCTCCCAGGGCTTTCAAGAAGTGGTTAGTTGTTAGAATGGACATATCCATCTTTGCCATTGACCGCCTCAGGTGAGAGCACCTCACGTAGGTGGGGAAGCTTGGTGGCTACATGTCTTGCTATGGACTACTCTCTCCCCGTACTAAATTCTACAAGGCTGGAATGAGGAGAGTCCTAGAGAAATGGGCGCAAAGTGGTTAAAAATGAGAATAACTTCTGAGTGATTTGGGAGGCACTAGTGCAGAAAGGAGATGTTAATCCACTCACTATGACAGAGGTTGATTTAGACTGTTTGAAAACAGTATGCACACCTACCTGTTTTAGCCTGAGGAGGACAGCAGATGAAGAGTGGAATGAGTTTGCATCTCCTTCCCAGTTAAGAGAAAGAACTGTGTAAACAAGGTGTTACTTTCCCGGGATCTTCATCTCCGTTGTCTCCTTCAAAACAGAGCTTGTGTTAAGGCACTTGGCTGCTGGCTGGTTTGAGTAAAGATTGATTACTACATATTTTGAAGACAGAGTAGACTATGTCTAGATGGGCGGCATATAAATGCAATAAATAAATAAAATAAATAAATTTTTATTTGATTTGTTTCCTCAACAGGTTTTTTATCCCAAGGAAAATTTCAGTCATCCTTATTGCTTGAATCTGTTATGTGACCAAGTGAGTATCCAGGTGTGAATGTGTGTATGAGAGCGTGAGTGAGTGACAGATTGAGACTCAGAGGGAGAGCCACTTGATCCATGATCCTCCTTTTCTTTCCTCCCTTCTCCTTTTGTTTCCATTCCTTACCCTTTTCAAGCCATGAAGTGCTTTCGTCTTTTTTACTACCTGCTTCAAAGCTTCCAGCTCAACATTTTCAATAGGAAGGGGTGCAAGTCAGTGTTCTTTGTTCCTTCCCAGATCATCAGAGACACATACTCAGAGTCATGCGTGCGGATCTCCAGAGAGGAGAGGCGTAAGATGAAAGACCTGCTAAGTAAGCCACCTCTTAATCTGCTCTACCTTGTCCATTCTCCCAGACATCCTGGGAATGGGGGAGGGGGGGGGGAAGAAGTACAGTTTCTATCTGAAATGGAAGAAGATTTTTGGATGCAATAGTTACACATTCGTATATGGGAAGCATTGTGTATAAACAGGACATTTGTCTATTTCCTAGCACTATACAATAACCCTATCATGCAACTCTTAAGATTTCTTGGGATCTACTGGTGGGATTTATATGATGTTAGTGTTGAGCTCTGAGGCACATGAACCACACACACACATGCTCTTTCTACTTCTTCATTCAGTGGTCCTAATCCAGGTTTCTGGAAAGAGAGAGAGAGAGAGAATGTAACCTTCCTTTTCTTCTCCCAGCAATCTTGAACAGGATTGCTGGATGGGAGAGGAAGCTAAAGCCCCCATCCCATCCCATCTGTCTTGGTCTGAACCTCAGCACAGTATTCTATGGAAGAGGGAGTGCAAGAAGAACCATCCTTATGCCCTTGTCTTGCCAACATGATCAAGCTTTTAACAGACCATCAAAGAACAGATGGGCAGGCTGTTGGGAATCCTGGAATGAGGCACAGAATCATCCTGTGGCCCTTGTCTCTAACACAGTTTTGGCAGGGGCATCGGGAAGGGGAAAAATTAACTTCAGGGAGTTTTGAGCCCCTGCAGCAGATAGCACAGTTTCTGAGGGCCACAGTTTGCCAGCTTTTGCTTGAGGAGAAGACCCAGAAGTCACTTTTCCATTGAGTTCATGTTGAACCTTAGTGGTCCCTGGGGCTTGAGGTTGACAAATAGCGAATAGCAATACCAGCAACGTATGCAATGAATTCTTCTCCCATCTCTGAAGTCCAAACCTTCCCTCAGCAGCTCCACTTTAGGTCCAGACAAGTAGGGTAGTAGCAGAATATCATTCCTACTAGTCTTTTAAACCACCTTGGTTAGAAAGAAGAGAGGAGTGTACAAATCAGATACATGATGCAGAGAGTATTGTGGGGTTTTTTTTTTAAATCCTGTTAAGACATACCGTATTCTTCTCACCACTCAATTTTCTATTAAAATACAATTCTCCTTATTGGACCAAATGCTATTTTAAGGTGGCTCAATTATTCATGTTAAACAATTGTTATATACTCCCTAATTCCCCAAGCAATGAGAAGTACCAGTGACAATGCTACCTGGTTTAGTTCACTGGGCTGGGAGAATAATGGAAATGTATTATATTTGCTTTATTTATTAAATATATGAGCAGTGCATACATGCAGTGCAAACAAGCTATAATAAAACTAGAATCATAGAATAGTGGAAGGGGCCTATTTGGCCTTCGAGATCAAACCCCTGCTTAATGTAGGAATCCAAATCAAAGCCAATCTGACAGATGGTTGTCCAATTTTTTCTTGAATGCCTCCAGTGCTGGAGGGCTCACCACTCCTGGGTTTCCCTTGTTGCACTGCTCAAACAGTTCAGAGGTTTTTCCTGATATTCATCCAAAATCTGGCTTCCTGTAACTTGAGCCCCTTATTACATGGAATCTGTAATTATTGAGAACAGATCCTTCCCCTCCTCTGTATGACTATTTTTCCTCTCTAGAAACTCCTCTCTCACACACTCTCCATTCTGGCTGCAAAGCTATTGTGTTGTCACCTTCTCCAGATTCTGCTCCTTGTTTCAACACCTCTGGCACTTAAGAACTAAGACGTTTTATTTATTTTGCACAAGTTTCAATAGACACTGACCTGCTTTTTCACATATGAAGAGCTGCATTTTGCCTCTGAGGTCCATCTATGTTTATGACAAAAAAAAATTGTTAGTCTTTAAAGCGCCGCAAACTCAGCTAGACCTTGGGCTATTTCATTTAAAATCACAAAGTGGCTGAAATCTAGTCGTAAATTGCAACTGGAGTACACCTGTTGAATCAATGGAACTTGCAGAGGAGTTTACTCACCAAATCCCTGCTAATTCAGTGGGTCTACTTCAGTTCTAGCTTACTATTGGATTTCAGTCAGAGAGTCCTAAGTAGTAGAGACCACCTTGTACAGTAACATCCACTGAAAAAATATCACTAGATTGATCTGGACTATTGAAGCAGTCTTCCTTACAGTAAAGGATTAGGAGCCATTAGACTTAACCCAAGAACCTGTGATCCTATTAATACATTTTGGCTTCAGAATGTAAAGTCTCTGCTTGTGGAATTTTGGTCTTCCTGGAACATTTGAACAGATTGACACTCCTTATCTTTGGTTATTGACTTTGAGCCCATGTCTAGTGTAGTGACAGTAGTTTAATGCTACCAGTGAGCAATCTCTGTCAACAGTAAAGTTGAGAAATACCCTGTCTCTGCCTCTGATTTTTCTCCTCTTGAATCTCTGGCAGCGAGCTTCAAGGTAGGCTTGGATGCCAGCTCCATTCCAGAAGATGGAATAAAGAAGAGGATTGTGGTGGCTGCTCGGGATAACTGGGCCAATTACTTCTCTCGCTTTTTCCCAGTTAAGGTAAGTCAGACTTATGTATGGTTGGTTGTCAGATTGAGGCCTTATTCCTTTAGAGGAGAGAGAATTTTTTGCTGTTTGGGTGGGTGGTCATCTTTGTTGATTAAGCTGTTGTTGGCTCTGTGGCCTTTTCCGTGCTCTGCTTGGAAAACTGGCATACTGTAGTAGTTAAAAATGAAAGTTGTAAAATATGGAAGTCAAATGGGAGATTTCAGTTATCCAGTCAGCTTGATATCAGTCCCAGGGAAAATTATAGAGCAGATTATAAAGTGATTACTCTGCAACCACCTTGAAAGCTATACTGTAATAACTAGAAGCCAACATGGATTTGTCAAGAACAAATCCTGCCAGACCTCCATCCTCATGCCTGGCAACATGAACATTCATTCATTCATTCATTCATTCATTCATTCATTCATTCATTCATTCATTCATTCATTCATTCATTCATTCATTCATTCATTCATTCATTCATTCATTCATTCATTCATTTGCCAGCCATTTTTATTTTGGATGGATTCTTTCTCATAGGGAGAAAATGGGAGTGATGTTCAGATTCTGGGTGTTTCTCACCGAGGCTTGCAGCTGTTGAAGAAAGAGAAAGCAGCCAACTTCAGTCCAGAGCATCTGAAAATCCTTTGCAGCTACAGGTGAGAGGCAACAGAAGCTCTAGGTTGTAGTGGTGGATCTTCGTGGGGCAGATGGATGGATGACCCTACTTCGGAAAAGGGGAACAGGATGGTTTCTTTGGCCATTTTGTGAGTCTGTCCATCTTCACTACCCACAATACAGTATAGGCAATTTCTTGGTGCCTTTTACGTTTCCCGTCACAGGAAACACCAGTATCAGGTTTCCTTTGAGAGCTCATGATTGATACTAAGGTGAGGGGCATCTCAGTGTGGCCTTAGCAAAATGGCTGTCAATGAATTAAGCCACATCTAACAAACAAGTGTGTGACCCACGTTCTCGGTATTTTGCAGTTACGCAGATGTGCTGTCCTTAGAATTGATGGGCAGGAACACTCTTCAGTTCTCTCTGAAGAGCGAGCAGCTCATTCTTATTTCTCCAAAGGCCTGTCAGATTAAGGTCATGGTGGAGCTCTTCCTGCGTGAACTGAAACAGGTGAGAAAAGGCTCTATATGCTGTGCGTCCCTGCTCCTCAAGATGCTAACGTTACTGATTGAAGTAAACCAACAGTGCCACCAACACATCTACAGTCTCTTTCCTCTTTTCTTCCCATCCCTAAAAGGACTCCAACTATGTGGTTGCTCTGCGCAGCTACATAACCGATGACAAGAGCCTCCTAAGCTTCAAGAGAGGTGACTTCATCCGGCTGATGCCTATGGAGGGTCTGGAGCAAGGTAATGGGGACTGGCCAGGAAAGATTCCCTCCATGTTACTGAGCAAAATGCTCACTGAGTTAGAGCATTTGAAGTGGGTGGGGGGTCTTCAGTAGGCACACAAGCTGTGTATACAATGTATGTGTGAACATACTTTAAGGAGATCAGAGACTGGGTGTAACGTAAGTAGACGTTATGTCCAGAAGGTGAAGCTTTGGCTGAAATCCAGTGGTAAGCTGCAACTAGAGTAGGCCTGTTGAATGAGTGGCAAATTTGCTGAGTCTACACCTAGGTAAGTTCCACTGATTCAGTGGGCCTTTTCTAGTCACAACTTATTGCTGCATTTCAGCCTAACCCTTCACCTCCTGTTCTTACATGAGCTTGTGCCCTTTTCCCTATAGGTTGGCAGTTTGGTTCCATCGGTGGTCGCTCTGGCCTTTTTCCTTCTGGCTTGGTGCAGGTTGTGGCTGCTCCTGATTATCTCAACCTCTGTGTGAATCGACAGGAAGAGGTCAGGAAGAGCCTAAGAAAGAACAGGAAGGAGAGTATCAGTAGCAAAGAGGTAAAGCATCTTTTACCTTTAAGAGCATGCAGGTAGAGATTCCTCAACAGCTTGCATGTAGGAGATCTCTGTGGAAATAACAGGTCCCAAGGGTTCAAGGGACTCACTCAAGTAAATTTTAGAAAAAGGGAGCAGGTGTAATTTTGTAATTGTTTGAAACACTCAGCTCAACAGCATATGAGAGACTGGCAAATGGCCATACTTAACTATTTGTTTGGCAAAGTTTTTGTAGAGGTGCCACCTGAAGTGGCGAAAGATGTCTGCTTGGTTTTCCTCACCTAGGTATCTTTTGTTTTCTGATTAATCATTGGAAGGTAAACATAGACAGTCCAGTTAATGAAGAAATCCAACTGCAGGAGAGGAAATGGGTTAATCATAGAGAATATCCATCCCCTTAACATTTAGTCTGACCCAAAGACAGGGGAATGCGAATGCTTGTAGATGGAACCTTGCACTCCTTTGATAGAAGCAAGATCTCTCTAAGGTTTGTTTTCCTACCTTTTAGAACTCTGCGTCTAGCATGGTGTCAGAAATCACAGACACTAGCACAACAACCAACACCCCTGACATGTGCCACTACACTATGGCAGAGTTTGCCACAGCGCACTTCCGGGATGCTCAGCTCATGTGAGTAATATAGAACAGAAATTCTTGAGCCCTGTAGTTTTAGTGAGCTGGCATTTGAGTTGGCTTGTTATCTGTGGGCCACTCCATTTTCTTGTGCTGTTACCACCATAGTCATCACTTCTCTGATTGCTATAACATTAATCACCTGTGTTGAGTGCGGTTCTTCATACGGTTTATTAGCTGATATCCTCTGTGTAAAGGGAACTGACCCGTGTGATAACATATCGCACCCCTGTCATAGAACAGCTCTCCTGAGGAGATTTATTGACTTCTCTTGACAATGGGATCTTACACAGTCTCTCAGAGGCATTACATTGTCAGCACCTTCCCATCTTGTTAAAATGGAGATACAGTACAAGCTTAAAAGCTTAAAATGAATCATAAATTAATAATTCCTTGGCCTCTGCCTCAAGTTAAATGACCTCCCATTTAACTGACTGACTCCCAGGGGAAAACAGCCCAGCAGGGCCTTCGTATGGGTGAATGTTCTTTGGACAGAGCCACCCTGATACAGTCCCAGGGGCTGCCTATAACTTTCTCTGTATCAGAGTTAGGAAATAAAGACTCAGGTATTAACACGGTAGGCTAATTCTTAGGTGTAGGTTTGTTTTTGTTTTTGTTTTAAGGGCGAAAGGACCTTCCATTATGCTTTCAATGCAAGAAGGTTAAACTCATCTAAAATTTTAGTGCAACGGTAATGTGTTCTGGCTTGTTGGTTGTTGTGGGTCGCAATAAATAGTGGAGGGAAAAAAAGCGAGAAAAAAAGCGAGAACTCATCTCAAGCTAGAACTTAGTGCTGCTTCCTGCTCTGGAAGTCGGTGGTGTGGCCCTGTGGAGGACCACATTAAAGACAAAGCTAGAGAACTGATCCAGGTCTGGGCAGTGAGAGGCCAAAGAAAATCATAGTGACAAGAGAAGGAGAGACTCATCATCTTCATTCAGTGAAGATGAGGAGAAATGAAGGAAGAAAAGAAGAGGGAGATGGGAGGTGTGTGAGCAGCTTGTCTGCCTCCCTCCCGCCCATCAGCTTTCCTCCCTGGAGAGAAGGCGAAGACCCTACAGCCAAAATATATTCTGAGACTCGCAGGTGTCCCTGTGTGGGTTCAACAGAAAATGAAATGCAAGTAGTGGTTGCCAATGATGATCCTATTACAGAAATATTTTTTAGGAATTCAGCAGTATTTCAAAAAGTAAACAGCCTGTGTAAAGCTTTCCTCTGGACATATAGATAAAATGCATACTATTTTCTCTTATTAATCTTGTGGCTTCTTTAAACACAAAAACCTGTTCAGTGCCATGATAAAAGTAACAAACAAAAGCACAGCAAAGTTAATGGCATTAGGTTTGTCTTCACGAAGGATTAATGAAATACAGCTTTGTGGTACTGATCTTTAAGCCTTGCTCTGCACCTGAGCTTTTAGGCGATTGTTTCAGAATGTTTTGGCTTAAAGAATGATACGCGTTTTCAGAATCACTTTGGTTTTTTTAAAAACAACATATCTGTTTGGATGAATCACTTGCGTGCACAGGTAGAGAACCACGAAAGAGAATAAACTGTTAAAGAAAAGAGTAGGCCTTTTAAAAGTTATGCATGTCAGACCCTCCAAATACTTAGTGTCTAACTAGACAAGCCTGATGTTTGGACCAACATGGGGACAGGCTGGTTTACTCCTTTTGCCGGGAACCAGAAAATGTAAGCCCCAGCCCCAGAGCATTCCTACCTGCACCTTTCTAATCCCCTGTCAGGACATCCTTTTTGGGGTGTGTGTGCAGGATTGCTCTGTTTTGGTTCAATTCCGGCATGTGTGATAGTTGGGATTTAAGAAAGGCAGGTGGCTGGCCGTCACTTTGGAGAAACCTCTTTATGGTCTTGAGAAATGGAAAACTTTTAGCTGTTGTTTGGAGGGCCGGGGAGAGGAAGGTTTGCTTTTTTTGTAGTGACAGTAGTGCTTTGAAAGGATTTTTCTTAGACATTGTTGATGCGCTGTGCCAGATAGCAACCATCAAAAAGTAAAGTGAAATTTCCCTTCCTCTACCCTCCAAAATGGAAATTGAAGTTTTCAGTTTCTCAAGATCACTAAGAGGCAAGATCATCATTAAGAGACTTCTCCAATGGACAGCCAGCCAGCGACTTAACAATCTTGAGAAATCTTTCCCTATAAAGGGAAACAGTCTTTCCTTTTAAAAGGAAAGATTATTTTGATTCTGCTAAACAGGGTCGTTTGAGATACAGGGTGGTTTCCTGACCTGATACCACCTCACCCTTGCATGAAGATGCAAGGATTGTATCACACACCTCTATGTGATTTGATCTGACCTTAAACAACCCTATTTACCTCGATCCAAGGCACTCCAGCTTGGTCATCTAGCCAAGCCCTTAGTTATCATTAGAGGTACAATTTTCAAAACTTATTTCCTTGATTCACAAAAGTAAGTCAGCAGTTGCTTTCCATCCTTTTTTTTTTTAAAAAAAGAACCACCTAAGTACTATAAGCCACTTGGCTGTAGTATAAAACACCTTCCTCTAGTCCACTTGTTAATGACCTCAACACTTTCCCACAACAGAAGGTGAAGCACAGTGCTCAGTCCAGTATTTGAATTGTGTGCTATTCCTCCTCCATTATAGGGTGAGGCCACAGCCCAGTAAATGTAGAAGTAGCACAAAAGTTACTGCTACACCATAAAAGGAGCGTTTTTTCTTCTTTAAGTTACACTTGCAACCTGTTTTAGTTGTAGCTTTGTTAGTGGAAAAAAATGGATTACAAATAAATAGATATTTGTAGATAGTTTCTTCCAAACTGTGAAAAATATAGAGGTAAGAATACTTCTAGAACCTTCTTTCCCATGCAGATGACCTGAAAGGAACTGAGCCTGTTCCACTGCCTACAGATAAGGCACTTTTAGCTCCCCGTTGAACTAGCAGCTAAGTCTTCATTCATATCTTTTGAAACCTTCATGGACACAGCCTCTCCATCAGCAATGGATAATAATATATACACATCCTATAGAACACTCTGAATACGTCTCCTGGAAGTGGTCCGCTCTTGCATCTGTGCCTGGAAGACTTGGATGAGAGTTCAGAAGATGAGGAGTCGCAGTCCCTTTACAAGTGGTTTGCTAAGCTGTCAACTTGAACATAAAGGAACAAATAGGACAGGCAAAATTCTCAGCTCCTGGCCAGTAACTTCTACAAGGCTCCATCTGATACATCCTGGACCACTGGAAAAATGTTTCTTGGCTGCGCTGGGAAGAATGTAATCATCCTCTTCTACCTTTGCTGATGGGAAAGTATTCAATACAAGGACTTCCAAATATCTGTCTTAAATACTAGTACACCAGGCCACACATGACCTTCAAAAGCTATGCTGATTCATTGTTTTGAATACAAGGACTCAGGCTGTTTGCATTGCAACATCATGGATAGTGAGGATCTGGAAAACTTTTCATCAGTTTTCCAAGGAGTACTGTCTTGATGAGATGCAGGAAGGTCCTGGCTATGTGGAAAATTATTCACTCATTACAGCTAGCCCAAGTAAGCATACTCAGAAGAAGAACGTGGGGAACTTATTGCTTTCTCTCCATTTCATTGCATCCCTGTGCTGTGTGTCTTTACTGGCCTGGAAGTTCATTCCTTCAAAAAGGCACACATATATTTAATCTTACATATTCTGTCTAATTTATTACTCTACACCCTCATTGAATTCTTATTCATCCAACTTCCTTACTACCCAGATTTGCCTTCCCTCTATTTTGCTTTGTGAAATTAGCATTGGCATGTGATTGACAAGTTAATCATACCTTTTGGTGAATTCATTGAATCTGATGCATTTGGTTTAACATTTTTTTCTCTGTGTTTTACTATGGTTTGTTTATATAGACAGACATTCCTGTGCTTTGTGTATATTTCTAAACAAATGTCACTAATAATAATAATATAAATAAAAATCATAGCACTGTTTTGGTGTTAATGTGCTGTTCTGATAGTAAGATAGAAGAGAGTTAAGGTAAGAAAGACACTTATGTTGATGTGGGTTTTTCGGGCTCTTTGGCCGTGTTCTGAAGGTTGTTCTTCCTAACGTTTCACCAGTCTCTGTGGCCGGCATCTTCAGAGGACAGCCTTCGCGAATATAAAGACACTCTTACATTATAAACGGTCTAGCAGCACAGGTGAGGGCAGTGCTTTGGGGGTTCTTTCAGCCTCTATGTCACCAGCAGTCTTACCTGGAGCCTTCAAACCCGAGGAAAGCCTGGAAGCTAAAACTGGTACAGATTTTGGCTGCCATAAATGCTAAAGGAAACATAATTTTCCAGTTTTGTGTGACAGTTGTATTGGCTATCAGCATTTTTTCATTCATAGCTCAAAATAGTGATGCTCATCTTTAGAACCGCAGTACAATCCTGCACATATGCTAAGACCTACTTTGGGGGTCCTTCTTAACTGTCTACTATTATGATAGGTAAAGGTGGTGCCCACAGAGAAGGTCTTCTTGATGGTAGCCCCAAGACTTCAGCACCCTTTCCTACCAGACCTTTTATTATAGCATTTAGGCAGGCCTGAAGATATTTCTCTGCAAGGTTGGACATATGTTAGAGAATAATCCTGGACATGACTTCTGATGTGATCACCTTGACTGTCACTTGCTTTGTACATACCTGAAATAAAGAAAAACAATATTTTTATGACACATGGAGAGTTTATTTGGCTAAAAGAAGGTTACTCTTTTTCATAAAAAAGAAACCTTTTAAAAAGGGGTTCTAATTAGGAACGTTAGATTTTGCTGTTAATGCCTAGTCATCTTCTGACAAGAGCCATTCCAATTTTAAAACTGATCGATGCTTTCAGGATTCCTACAACTCAATAAGCAAAGGCAGTACTTCCTTTAAACCTTGAATTCACTTAACATATTTGACACAAGAGTCTCAAGATTTTTCATTTTCGGCTGTAATCTCCACTTAAAGGAGAATACTTTCCTGTAGTATAGTTCTCATGGCCAGAGGTGATACTGTTTGTGAGGGTCTAGGAATTGTATTCCAAAAAGTAGCACTTCCAGTTTGTCTCCATTACCACCCTCATACTAACTGTATGACATACTACAGTTAGTATGTTGTTGTTTTTAGTGCCACATACGAGGAAATATAATTCATCGGGTGAAAGTAAGGGGGGGGGAGAGAGAGATTTAAACCTTCATGACCCAAGTGTAGTGGCTCCAATTCGTAATAGGGACCCAAGCATGCACTTGTAAGGAAAAGAAAAGAAAGGGAGACCTAGGTATATGAGCAGTGTTGCATAGCTCTTGGAGAAAGACCCAGTACACTGAGTAGAGAGAAGCCCTGTTCTTCCAAGTTGGACTCGTTTAGGGGCAAATCATGGGTTGTGAAGGGAGAGCCCTCACCTCAAAGTGTTGCGCCTGGCCCTGGTCATGAGCTGCCCTCAGGTTCATCAGTCACCTAGGAACAACTGAGTTCAAGCTACAATGATAGAGAATGATAATGGCTGTCAATGTAATGAATCCCTTTTTAGCTAGGTAATCCCAGTTCTCCCTTCTTAGTTAGGTAACATTATTGAGGTACTTGTCAAGGATAAATTAAATCTAGGCATTTCTTCCTTTAGATTAGAGAGCCATGTGCACAGCTGGAGGTTTCTATGATACTTTCAGAGTATGCGAGTCATTTTTCAGATCAAAATTTCCAGCGGTTTTTCTCTTGAGCATTGTGAGTGGTGGCGTAAGAAACATTCAAGAAATCTGTGGCAATCAGTAATTCTTTCAGTTTGATTTTATCATTGTCTTGCTGATGACTGGTACTTCATGGGCCGCTATTTAAATATCACTTTTGGGAAAAACAAATAATGTAAACAAGACCTTAGAAAAGCTAATTTTTTAAGACTATAACTCTCAGAATCTCCCAGCTATTTGGAAGATTTAGATGTTATGGAAGTAACTTTTCTAAGCTCTCATCTCTAAACTCTGATCTAGTCCAATATTGTCTACCACAAGGGAGGGAAATGTATGGCTCTCCCAATGTGACTGGACTACAACACCCATCAGCCCACGGCTAGTGTGGGCCAACCCCATTCAGAAGGCTACGAGTCTGCCATTCTCAGTCTACAACGACCGGCAGCAGCAAGCTGGGATCTCAGAGGCCGGGGTCTTTTTCACTTGACATGACTAGCTGATCCTTTAACCCCAACTAACCTAGAATGGCAGGCGAGGCGCCCTGAGGCTGCTGCCTTGCAAACCATAGGGAGTATCCATTGCAGATGACTGCTCGCTGGGAAGTCAGGCCTCCCTTGCCCTAGCATTCTTCGATTGCTTTCCTAGGCGACATCCTAACTTTCTCTTTCCGTTAGGCTAGGTTTGAAGGGCATGAATAATGCTGGGCAGAAGAACCCTGCTGTCTTGGTTCAGCATACAAAGGTAAATAAGAGGAAATGCAAGTCCTTCTGTGTCCTGCTCTCTTCTTCTCCATTGTTTGGGGAATGGATGTGATGAACAAAGACTTCATTGTTAACCTGTTGGGTGAAGATGAACAAGGGGCTTAACCTCCCCAAAGGGGCTTGTGGGTATCTTTGGTTTCCTAGATGTTTTGGACTACAGCTCACCTGCTCCTTGGCCATCATCTACGCTGGGCAGGGCTGTTGGGGAATTCAAATTCAAAACACACTGGAAACACCACTGGTTCCCCATCCATGCGTCAGAGGTTAGCGTGCAAACCTTTGATGGTCTTTCTTTCTGTCTATTCATCACTGCCTCTATCTGTGTCTGTTTCTGCCAGACCTGCATTCATGTATGCCTGGTTCCCCATCCATGCGTCAGAGGTTAGTGTGCAAACCTTTGATGGGCTTTCTGTCTATTCATCGCTGCCTCTATCTGTGTCCGTTTCTGCCAGACCTGCATTCATGTATGGTGATCACAGAGGGCTCTGTCTCTTATCACCCCACCCTCCTTGGCTCCTCTCCCTCTTGATGACCCCTTGCATTTTGACATCACAGGTACCAATCCAGGGATCACTCCTCTTCTACTCTGATGACGAGATGAATGACCTGGCGACAAAAACATTTCTGAGTATGTGGCGATCCCTTGCACCAGTCTGGAGGGGGAGGGCATAAAGGGGGCTATGTTGCCAGAGCCCAGGGAAGAAGAGTCTGACCTAGATAGTTTAGGCAGCCACAGAGTATTCTTGCTATGGGCTTCTTCCCTAGTGGAACCACTTGCCTCCATGCCTTTGCTTCTTATAGTGCCGTTGGTACTTGCTATTGGCTGCACCAGCAAAAATTGAAGTCCTGTATTTCTTCACTTACCTCCTTCCAGCACATTAGGTGTCAATCCAGTGCAATGCCACAGCAACATATCTTATATTTTCAGTTAGCAATAGAAGCTAGAATTAATGCTAGCTCCTCTGTTTCAGCCGTGATGAGGTTCATGGGAGACCAGCCAGGCATCAAGAAACACCATGAGGTTGACCATATCTACGAGATTCTCCAGGTTTGTGGCACTTTTCATGGGTGGTCATTTCGTGGTGAAGAAAGTTAGAATGGGACTTAGAAAGTCAGTGCTTGTGAAGAAGGATCCCAATTAAGTTGTAATGAATCCCAAAAAAACAGTGGGTTGCTTAGTTGGTTATAAACATTTTTATCCTGCAATTCCACTACGAATAAGGGACTGAGAGATAGATGTGCTGACATTAATTTAAAATTTAACTTAGTTTAAAAATTAAAATACATACACACACATTGGGGGGAAACAAAAGTTTAGTAAAAGCAAACAGCAGTAAGCTAATAACAGGCCTCTTCAGAGAAGGAAAACAAGAAGATACCAAATGCAGGAAAAGTGAGAGAGGGAGACAGGTCTGCAGTCACAAAATTGTGCTTTTCTGAGCCCAAGAAATTTCAAATATGAGTTCTTGCTGATGGAACAGTTAGGCGAATTTCGGCTCCAGACTTAATCGTCTTATGCCACCGACTTGGTAGATGGCACTGTATAGTGTTTCACTTTCTTTAAAATGTGCTAAGCCATCCTGGCTCCACTAGGGGCCTTCTTGCCATTACCGCTGATGGGGAACCCAAGGCTTCCACTCCAAAGTCCTGTCTTAAATATGTTGCTGATTCTTGTATAGCAGAACTCTTAAGTGGAACTGGTTTAAATCACTGGTCTAACCAGTTCTGTCTGCTCAAACGAGGGGCTAAATCTTATTGCTAGTCCCAACTAGAACAGACCAAGTGAATAAATGAGGGATATTAAGTTAACACTTACGTAATTCCAACTGACTCAATAGTTCTACATTATCGGGGAATACCTGATGGATTTAATGTAATTGTCCATCCATCTCTGGAAATCTCAGGAGATGTGATGACAACTAGGGGACAGTTGAAGAAAGACTGCCCTTTTCCGGCCTATGCAAGAATATCCCCTACTTATGTACGGGAATACTGTACTGTACTGGCGTAAGGCAAGTTGCTCGGAAACTGAGCCCTTCTCTTTGTCACACCCCCTCCACACCTTGTACAGCTCTGCAAGGAGAAGAAGAGTCTGCATGATGAAGTTTACTGCCAAGTCATCAAACAGATTACCAAGAACCCCCGGCAGTAAGTACACAGTGTATGTTTTTGTGTGTAGTCTGAAACAGAATAAATGGGGGACCTGGATTAGGATGTAGATTGGAATGTTGCACAAAGGAAATGCTGCCAGAAAGAGGAAATTGATATTGTTCTTGTGAAAAAGGCATGGAACTGTGGTTAACAAGTCACACTTAAAATGCATTACATAGATGCATGGCGGAGGGGGTTGTAGTGATGGGGTTTTACATAGATTTTGGGGTGTGACAAATAGTTGACTAATATGATTGGCCCTCATACTAAGACTCTTGGCTTGGAAAGATTGAAAGGAATTGATTTTATTGAGTGGAACTTACTATGTTTTCAAATCCCACTTGTCTTTTAAGGACCTCAGGGTGTGAGATCTTCCTTCCCTGTGACGTATGGACTAGCATAAGGCTGTATCCAGCTCTGTGGTGCTTACACGTGGGTTGTCTTCCAATGACAAAATAGTCTTCTGCACGAAACATATGGGACTAAAAGTCCTGTCCAGATTTTCTCCAGTTTCTATAATACAGTATTAGAAACATCCGTTGCTTTTCCATCATGTCCCACCACAAAGTATTTTCTGTAACCCACACACCACTCTCTGTGCTAATTATACCTTCGTTCTTAAGTCAAGACCCCACTGTACAGTATTAGAAACATCCGTTCCTTTTCCATCATGTCCCACCACAAAGTATTTTGTGTAACCCACACACCACTCTCTGTGCTATCTTCATTATACCTTGCGGCTCCCTTTATCATGCAGAGACAGTTGCCACCGTGGCTGGCAGCTCCTGAGCCTCCTGACTGGCTACTTCCCACCGTCCAGCACTTTGATGCCTTATGTCACCAAGTATCTGCAGCAGGTCGGTGCGGATAGTTCCAGCCTCTGGCAAGGTAGAGTTTGTCTCCCCTTCTTTGGGCCCCTGCATGGTTATAATTCAGTCCATTGCTCCTGGGGGGGTGGGGTTGGATCCTTTAGTGCCGAAAAGGGACATCCACAGTCCCATGCACAGCAGAGAACCAAGAGCTCTGCTTCGCCTGGGTGCTCCTTGACGTCCTTCCATTGCACAAGGGAACAGACAACCTGTCGACTTGACAGTTGTGCCTCTGTGCATCACCAACTAACCCATGCACAGCAGAGAACCAAGAGCTCTGCTTCACCCGGGTGCTCACAAGGCAGCAGACAACCTGTCGACTTGACAGTTGTACCTCTGTGCATCTTGACACCAACTAAGCAGAAGGGTTTAATCATAACACAACTTTATGGACCAATGAGCTTAGTCCTTTGTCCTTTCTATTCCTCAGAATTAGCCTGGACTTGCCAGAGGAACCTGAGAAAAATAATCCAGAATGGAGGTCGCCGACACTTGCCATCCCCTATAGAGATGGCAGCATTTCTGGTAACTAAAGGGATATTTCAATGAAGTTTCATATGTGGTAGAAGATATTTTGAGCCTATTTTTTAATGGCACCCTTCCTCAGCTTGGTAGGCTCCAGATATAGTGGGCCACAATTCAACTACTGGCCCAATAGATCTACAGAGCGTTACCAGCCAATTTTGGGTTCCGGTTTTCCGGCGAGGAAATCAGGCAGAGACACGGCAGCTGAACCAAAGGTCCAATTTTATTCAAATATCAAAGAACGGACAGCTGGGACTTCTCTTAAAAGCAGAGAAGACCCCCAGAATACAGTGTATACATGTTTTATATGATACAAACAAAGAGTCATAAAAGTACTACAATTCTATTGGTCAGTTGTACTCCAACTTTGGATCCAGTCTCTCATTGGATAATTAATGGTAACAACTCTATCTATTGGTTAAATGTAAGAAAATATATTATGCCCCATCTTTCCTTGACCTGTGTCCATGATGCACCAGGGATGTGCCTAAAAGTCTGGGGCATAGAGTATCTATTTCCCTTTATCTATTGCTATGTCTATGTACTGTCTTGCTTTCTTGGGCCTAGTTTCTCTGAGGCCTTTATCTATTGCTATGTCTATGTATTGTCTTGCCTTTCTGGGGCAAACAAAGAGGAGGCCTGTGTTTTTCTCTGCTAAGGATTATCTGTGAATGTTTCTCTGGTTACCTGAACTATGTGTGAATGTTTCAGGGTCGAATTCTCCCCAGGCCTAGTTTTCCTCCTAATGTACTGTCAGTTACTAATTCATTGATCAATCTTAAAATATAGTTTCAGCTTTCCTCGGTATCAAGAGCACCGGCCTGGGGAAAGCTGGTTCTCTTGTTGAGATGTGGAGAAAGTGTGGCATAGCGTTTGGGTTGGGAAATTTCCTGAGAAGGTGGTGTGTACTGACATAGGAAAAATGCATTTATTTACTCAGCCTAAAACAAATGAATGGGCTGAGTAATAGGGGCTGGTCATAACAAAAAGCATTAAGAGCAGACAGTGTTTCTTTGGGTTGATGCATGAAGCTGAATTCACATTTGATGGAGATCTGTACCTGTTACCAGTATGAAATGCAAAAGAAATAACATCAGGATCCTCCACATCCATCTTTTGCAGGGTTTTGTATTTATGGTAAATTTTATTTTTGTTACACAGTAGAATTACAGAGACTTAAAGAGGAAAATAGCTTCAAGTTCCCCAGATAGTCCAATCCTATCTCATTAATTGGCATTTAAGGTCTCAATAACTCACTTTATTTGTAGGAGAAAGAATAAAAATGTTTCATTACTTATAATTGTGAACAGACCAAGAACAAAGAAAAAAACCCAACACACTGCTTTCAACAGATTAGAGAGAGGAAAAAGAACATAGCAGAGGACAGCAGAGCTCTCTTTGAATTCAGAGGCAGGATCGTCAGCCCAGAACGGTCCCTCTCAGCCACACAAACCAAAGGGTTGTAAAAACTCCAACACCATCTGCCTTTTTTCTCCATACTGTGCCTGATTTAGCTGTGATTTCATCAGTATTTCTCCTGCCATCCATATGATTCAGGACTTGTCCTGGTTCTAATAGTGACAGAATCCACAACTTTCTATGGTATTTTTTTTGTTCCCTCCTAAGGCATATTTTTAACTCCATCTTGGTTAAATGGAGGGGGGGGACATGCATGGAGTACAGTGCTCCAGAGCTTCCCAAGTTGACAGCCTCCCTTTCAAAGCTTTCTATTAAACTTTGAATTAACTAAATGGGAAAAAGTGTTCCAGAAAAGAAATTCCAGCAGTAAAGTAGTTGTTTCATATTTTTTAAAGCATTTCAAGTGCTTCCTCAGCAGAAGTGATTTTCCAATAAGTAACTTTTTATAAATAGAGATGTGGATATGAATCTGGGTAAGTGATCCTTCATGGTGAAGAAGGACAATGTGGGAATATATGAAAGAGCCCCACATAGATATTTGCATTAATTCAGATACTAGGTTATCGAGACCCATTTCTGTCTGGTTTCAGGTCTGGTTATGGGATGGAGGCTGCTTTAGTTGCCTTGGTGGACGATGTATGCTGGGAACTAGACAGGAGAGGGGGAGGTGTCCCCTTTTAGTTCTGCTGGACTTCTCAGCACCTTTCGATGCCATCGACCATGGTATCCTTCTGGGCTGTCTCTCTGGGATGGGACTTGGAGGCACTGTTTTACAATGGGTCTGGTCCTTCCAGGAGGAGAGATCTCAGAAGGTGGTGCTGGGAGACTCCAATTCGACACCCTGGCCATTGCCTGTGGCATCCCCAAGGTTCTGTTTTGTTCCCCATGGTTCTTTATAAATGAAAGTTCTGGGAGAGTTTGCTTGGAGTTTTGGCGTTTGTGGGTCACCTAACTGTATCTCTGCTTTCCATCTAATTCCAAGGAAGCTGTCTTGGTTCTAAACCAGTGCTTGGCATCAGTAAAGGGCTAGATGAGGACCCACAAACTGAAACTTAATCCAGACAAGACAGAGATGTTCCTAGTCAATCGGAAGGCCAATGAGGGGTATAGGAATATAACCTGTGTTGAAAATTCAGGTCTGCAGCTTTGGTGTTCTCCCGGATTCATACCTGAGCCTGGATGCCCAAGTTTCAGCCGTGGCTGGGAGTGCCTTTGCATAGTTAGAATGGATGCTCCACCCGGGCCCATTCCTTGTGTCTGATTTGGCTACAGGGACACCCGCCTTAGTTACATCCTGCTTGGGTTACTGCAACTCCAGGGGCTTCCTTTGAAGAAGGTTCAGAAACATTCTTCAGGTTCAGGATGCCTCTTATGCTCCTGCTAAGACAATTTGCACTGGCTATCTATTCTTTCCAGGCTGGGTCCAATTTGAAGTGCTGGGCATTGCCTATAAAGCCCTATATGGCTTGGGTCCAGGCCACCTGAAAGACCCTATCTTCCCATATGAGCCTTCTTAGCTATTAAGGTTTTTGGAGGGGGGGCACTCTTAATCCCATTGCCATTGCAGGAAAACTTGATGAAGACACGAAAGAGGGCCTTCTCTATGGCAGCTCCCAGACTGTGGAACGCTCTCCTTCCAGAGAACGTCCCTTCCCTTTTATCCTTCTGCTGATAGCTGAAGATCCACCTTTTCAGACAGGCTTTTAATAATTAAGTACAGTACATAGGTTTTTAGCTTAGAAAGTTTGCTTTTAAATTTGAAATGTTTTCCCGTCATTTAATACGTTTTTGATTATTCTTATGGTTCAATTACTTTTTATTGCATAATTTCTTGTGTTTTTAATTTTAATTATTTTAATGTTGTGAGCTGCCTCAAGTCCCCTTGTCAGAAGAAAGGTGGCCAACAAACAATACTAAAGGTAAAGGAAAAGGTTCCAACTAACTAAATACTAAAAACGACAACAGCATTATCCAGCAAGGGTCAAACGCTTCCTTTCAACTCCCACTTGTTCCAGTCAGAGTTAAGCAAATCCTTAAATCCATTTCATTGAATATGACGGATGTCCAATTGCTGAACTTTGTCTCACTCCTGCTCTTGGGGAGGGGGAAAATGCCTGCACTGATTTCCCATTTCCCTTTGGCAGAAGGGACATATCTCTCGTCGGATATTAGTCAACCTACCTGGAGATCAAAGATATTCCATGAAGATTAAAACATTCACAGTGAGTTTGTGTTATAGTGGGTGGGTGGGGGGCATGGTGAGTACATTCACACTGCTGGGTATCTTCCTTTTTCTGTTCTGCTTAAATCACTGTAAAAAGGCAGGGCACAGAAATCAAGAGCTTCATTTCCTGCAGGTTTTTGCCAGAGAGGCAGCCTTTTTTAAGCCTTTTTTTTAAACTGGAGGTACCTGTGGCCAGTCTCCTCACTTGTGTGAATCATGGCTGGCAAATTCATCTTTTTTTCTTTTTCTTTTTTCTTTGGTGGTGGGGGCAAGCTCTTCTGGGGGATCCACTTTCCATGCAGAAGGTCCAAAGACCAGCTGCTGGCCTTTGCAGTGCAACTAAAGGATCAGGTAGCTTGCTGATGATGGGGAGGCAGCCTGCCTGGAGAACGGCTGATAGTCAAAGCCGACAGTGCTGGGCTAGAGGGTGAAAATTTGGGACTAAATCTCTGTGCATTTCACTCATTTCACTGTGTATTTGACTCACTGGGTTTGTGGCCAATCCTGTCTGAGGGGTTCAAGGACTGGTGCCAAGGAATCAAAATAAATTGTAACTCTCATGAGCTGACCTTTTCCTCACCATTTAATTTTTAAACCAAGAGAGACAAGGCTTATGTGTGTGTGTGTCTTGGGGGGCGGCTCATCTGTGGAAGTCATCCCTTCCCTTTTGCATAAGTGGGAATATGACTGCTTTTGGCCAGCCACGGTGCTAAAGGTCCTCCCTTTTCTTTTGGGTTATAGCTTGCAGAAGATCTGTTGAAGGAAATCACTGAGCTGATGGGAGTCGTAGAACCAGAGGAGATTCAGGAGTTTGCTCTCCTTGTCAGCAGAGATGATGGTAAGTGCAGCACCTGACAGCAAACTATAGAATATTTTAATCTGGTGAAATCAGCAAAAGGTGAGGCTGGGTTGTGATTTTCTATGCAGCTGGGGAGACTCACAGAGCTATCTTCTCCTGCTCCTCAGCCCACACCTATTGCCAAAACTACCACTCTCTTAGGACTTAAATCCTTAAGTCTTAAGGGAACTTATGGCCATTAATGATACCACTCTCTTAGGACTTAAATCCTTAAGGGAACTTATGGCCATTAATGGATCTGGGTTTATCTTGCTGGGTTTTCCCACCTGACCTTTGACCTTCAGCAGGATTTAAGCCTGTTCTCCCTCCTATTGTGCTTATTTCTGATCACTGCTAGCTAGAGGTAAGAGCTAGGATTTCCTGGCTGAAGGAGAATAGCTTTTCTTCCATCTTGCCCAGGGAAATCGGGCTCAGAAGAGACTATTTAAAACCGCATTCACTTTAAATAGTATGCTGTTTAAATACCTTCTGCATTATTACTGCCTACACATTTGGGGAAGTGGAACACCCTGGAGCATCTCATTTGGTGCCCTTTGTTTTGATATGAATGAGGGCGATCCTCAAGTATTCAAGATAATCTCTCTGTGCTCTACGCAGGTAAGATGGCACGGCCCTTGCACCACAGGGACTACGTTCATGACTATGTAATAGAGGATAATTCGGTGGTGCTGAATTTCTGCAGGATGACCTGGAAGATACCTCTACACTTTGAGAATGAGAATTACATCAACATTCACTATAACCAGGTGCGCTAAGGAGAGGATCTACCATGTTTGACTTCTTAGAGTTTTGTAAGTGGCTGACATGTTCCTCTGGAGAATGTTTTATACATTGCCTGTGAGCATTTGGTAGCTTCCCGTTCCCATCTGGCTCCATTGGCTGGAAGCCCAGGACTCAAAATCTCAGTTGTTTTATTAAAGGGCAGTTTCAGTTGCATAAGCTATCAGAATGTGCACACTTTCTGCAGCTAAAAAACGGCATGGGAAGAGTGCACCACAATGCAAACTCTCTTGTGGGTTATTCCCAGGTGCTGCAGAATTATATGACAGGGAAGCTACTCTTGCATGACACGGGTCGGCTGCAGGAGCTGGTGGGTACCTTAGCTGTGTTCCAGCACTGGGCCAAAGGAGCTGCATCAACCCCTTCCATGTAAGTCGTTCTCCCTGTCTGGGGATGCTTTCAAAGCAGACCTGGGTAAAGTGCGGCCCGAGGGCCACATACGGCCCGTGAGCTGTTCCTGTCCGGCCCACCGGTTGCCTCTCCAGTCCGGTGTTCAAGCACTTGTTCAAGCCCAAGACAGACTGGATTTCTCTCACTGAACAAGTTGAACATCAAAACCATTTATAACTTTTTGGTCTAAAGTTGATCAGTTGCTTATCTTTTATTTTTAAGTAAAGTTGGTTCGGCCCCCGAACACAGTTCAGATTTTTCATGTGGCCCCCTATAGAAATTAATTGACCACACTTTAAAGGAACTCTTTCATAAACTCCAATTACTTGTGTAGACCAGCATGTGGGATTTGGCAGGGACTTTGTCAAGATCTTGCGAAGGAGAGAAAAGACTGTGTCCTTAAATCCTAACCTGATCGTCCCAACTTTCCACCTCTTCCTTCTCCCTCTTCTGGGTCCCTGAGTGTCATCCTGCAACCATTCAGTGATTATATTTTGGGCGGCCTATATTTGGGTCTTTCTTATTAAAAGTAATTTTCCAAGCTTTGCTTCCTGTTGAGAGTTCTCCAGTCTGCTGGGGCTCCTTTCTATGGATATTTTCTTTCCAATGCAAGCAGCAGGCACAGGCCTCCCAATCTGGATTGGAAGCGAGCATATACAGGGGCGGTGGGGTGGGGGATCCACTTGGCTTCCAAATTTTTCAAGCTGGGAGTAGTCCTGCCATCTCTCTGTGATTCCTGAATGATGTTTGAAGGGTTTCCCTTCACAGAGTCCAGCAACAATGCATAGCCATGCCTTTGTTTCATGTGTGTCTAAGTAGGCAAGAGCTGATCAACTACATTCCTGCTCCTGTGGCCCACCTCATCAGCCTGGAGATCATTCAAACCTCTGTTTCTTATCAGCTGCAACATGGGAAACGCCTTCAGCAACAGGAGGCAAAAATAAATTTCATTGGTGAGTTCTACTGCACACTGGGGGCCGATGCAGCTGACGTCGAGGTCTATCTGTGCCCGAGATTTCTGTACTTCACGACTGGCGTTATGTTGGACAAATCCAACCTTGCATGCTTCTTTAACACTGTCTATGGAACATGCCCCGTCCCTGTTACTAATTTTAGAGGCGGTTCTCCTATGAAACCCACAATTTCAGTTTTAGCATACACATGGTGTGCTCGTGTGGAGCACTGTGCCAAGGGAGCATGTTTTTATTCTCCTTTGCCAGAGGTCCATTTACTTGGCAAATGGGGAATCAATTCATTGGAATTGATTCTGCATATGTGAACACCTCATTCCCTTTTAATTTAAAAAAAAATCCTGCTACCAGAGAGCAGGGATTTGAAAATAAATAAATAAAAGCACCAGGCTGGCTGAAAAAGCCAGTGCTTGCCCAATCACACACAAGAGACCATATTGCTCACTTCCTGCCCACTCAGTTGCCCTCCCTCTGTCTGTTCCTCACCACCACCACCCCAGCTGGTCGCCCAATCGGACCCTGGTTCGACTTCTCAGCCACTTCCCCACCTCCTTGGTCACCCAAGTGTTTGTCCCTGCACAAACGCCCCACCCTCACCCCTTTCCCTCTCATCCTCCACCCCTCCCATTCCTTTCTCCCCACTGCCCCCCTTGCACCCCCACCTGATAGGAGGAGGCAACAGCAGCAGGGTGTGTGTGTGTGAAAGAGAGAGACTAGGCAGCTCCTGCCATGCTTTTATCTGCACTAAAAAAAGGAATTTCCAAATTTCAAAGCCTTAAGGAGAGTCAATAAGCCCTCCCTTTCCTTATTTTATACTGGAGTTTGAAAACCTTATTTCATGATGTTAGATAAAAAGTGCAAGCAGAAACAACAGTCCGTGCCATGACCACTTTACAACTGGCAGCTTTTTCTGCATCAGCTTTGCTGTAACTGTGAGACAGTAAAAATGTGTGTAATTGTAGAATTGGAGAGCAAAAATTGGACCAACCAGTGTGGTTTTAGTTGCTGAGAATGTTGAAGAGGTGTGTCCTAGAGCCACAGTAACATCAGCAACACTTAGCCAGCCTTTTTTTAACAGTTGTGACAACCTTGATGTAGCAATTCGTACTGGATGTAGTTCATGCAAAGCAAAGCGTGCTGCTTATATAGCCCCTGGCCCATGACTTGTGTTTTCTTCAGGCTGATTGTTAGTCCAAAGTCTTGGCAGGCCTTGCTGAAACGGTTCATGAGTTGTTGGAGGTCTTCAGCAGAGTGGGCAACAATGGCTGCATCGTCTGCAAAGAGGAAGTCCCTCATGCATTTCAGTTGGACTTTGGTCTTCGATTTCAATCTAGAGAGATTAAAGAGCTTTCCATCTGATCTAGTCCGGAGATAGACACCTTCTGTTGCAGTTCCAAAGGCATGCTTCAGCATGACAGCAAAAAAGATCCCAAAAAGTGTTGGTGCGAGGACACAGCCCTGTTTCACTCCGCTTCGGATGTCAAAGGGATCTGATGTTGAGCCGTCAAAAACTACAGTGCCTTTCATTCCATCGTGGAAGGACCTGATGATGTTAAGGAGACGAGGTGGACATCCAATCTTGGGAAGTATTTTGAAAAGGCCATCCCTGCTAACCAAGTCAAATGCTTTTGTAAGGTCTATGAGGGCCACTAAGAGTGGCTGTTGTTGTTCCCTGTTGTTGTTCCCCACATTTCTCCTGCAGCTGTCGGAGGGAGAATACCATGTCAGTGGTGGATCTAATTATACAGGCTACACATTGCCCCCCCAGCAGTCTGGGTACTCATTTTACCGACCTTGGAAGGATAGAAGGCTGAGTCAACCTTGAGCCGGCTACCTGGGATTGAACCCCGGGTCGTGAGCAGTTTTGGCTGCAGTACAGCGGTTTAACCACTGCGCCACGAGGCAGGGTATTGATTTGTATATTGGTTTTACCTCTGTGGCTTACTGTTATGATGCCCACTTCCCATTTCTTTTTCCCTAGAGCACATGGTCCAGCTGCCATTTTTTGACTACAATATATACCCAGTGGAGAGAATGAGCATATCTGGGTTGCCCATGCCGTGCTTTGTAGGAGTGAACCAGGAGCAAATCATTGTAGTGGATGAGAAATTCCAGGTATGCCTCTGGTAAAACCCCAAGCTGAGTAGTTCTTTCTTTAATCTCATGAAACCCTGAACAAAAGAAAACCATGGAAAAGAGCCTGAGTGGTAGGTGATGCAATTTGGATCATCCTCCCTTGATTTTTTTAAAAAAGGACTCCATCCCTGTTTGTATGGGAGCTTTAGTCCTAGCCATAAATCTGCTGCTGCTTTTGTGATGCAACCATTGCTGGATCACATCAAATGTTAGACCTTCTGCACAGAAGGTAGCCAAAAAAATTACATTAAATTCCAGGACAGCTGCCCTCAGAAAGAAAGCTGAAACTGATTAGATTTTGGTTCAGAGCTGAGGAATGCATTTTTAAAATTACTTGTGCACATAGCCCAGTATTACCTGCTGCCTGACTCTTTTAGCTGAAGATGCCAGGGATTGAACTACTTCTGCAACCAAGGCATGCACTTTACAGCTGAGCACTGTGGGGCATTTTTAACTGTTGGCAACAATTCCAAAGAATAAATTGAGAAGTGCACTGTGGCACAGGCGTTTGTGAGCTATGACAGATGTAGTGAGCCACTGATTGTTTTTTTGGGGGGGAAGAGTAGGACTAGCTATATGTAATGTGTGAACATGGATTTAAAGCCCTACTGCATCCAACACCATTCATACAATTGCATAAATGTTTTAACAGAGTAAGAGCAACTCCAAGGATCAGGATCAGGATGGGTCCCATTGCTATCCCTGTGTAGATTAGAAGACTCATGCCTGCCATCCTGAGGAAAGCCCCTATAGCAAAGATGTAAATCAGCCTGGATTCAGATCTCAATGGAAGGCAAAGAGTTAGACTCTCTTCCTCTGTATCATGATCCAACCTGTTCACTGCCATTCTTGGTGTAGCTGGCATGTATTTCTTTTAAAAAAATAATATGGGAAGGAAGTCACCTCTACTCTGACTTGCAGGCAATGGAAATTTAGTGGCTCCATGAACTAAAGAGAACATCTCATCTGAGCTCAAGATAACATCTGCATCTGATGAAGTGGGCTTTGGTCCATGAAAGCTTATGTCACAACAACTTAACCCGTAAGGTGCTACGAGTGCACTTCAGATACATTAATGATTGGGTTGAATGGGCTAATCAACTTGAAAAACAGCATTAGTATTTTGTGGCTACTAATACACCGTGCACTCTGTCCTGAAGTACATTTTGGCAGACTCACTATGGAAGCAACGACATTTGAAATAGCACATTTTAAGTACTACTGGAATAATACTTCATTAGTCCTAAAACAATGTTTTTATAGAATTCAGATTACAGTAATTTCACAGAAACCATGAGCTTCCTTCTAACTATCAGTGCAGCTACATCATTTGATATTATATGGCAGATATCTGCTTTACATTTTGAGAAAACAACATCTCTTAAAATGCATTTTTAAAGGAAAGGGCATAGAAGGATGAAGTGTATGTTTCTCTTGTAGAAGAATAAATTGCTTTGAGTTGCCCAGACAAAGGTGCCACATGAGATGTGATGCTATTTGAATAATTAGCAACTGTGTATGAAGCTTTTAAAAAAGCCAAATGAAGACATGGAATCTGATTTAGGATCTGAGGGAGCTTGGAACTCTTTTCTGTTCCCCCAGGAGATCCTGACTGGATTTCCCACACCTATTTGCGTTAGCCATTATGGTAAAGTGCTCTTTCACTCCAATGCAGGCAGCAGTCACAAAGGGGTGTACATTAAGGGGGCATAACATTAAAAGCTTCCCATTCCCCCACAGGAAGACCGCACACACACACTCCAAATCAGGTCCCATACACCTGAAGTTGGTGTTTAAAAGGCCATTCACACAATTGTTGATTACTTGGAGGATGTCTCATATAATGTGGCTTCACTTAGAACTTTGTCAGTAAATGGTCCTTTAAAAGCACAGAAGCCGTGTGTGTGTGTGGGGGGGGGAAGTGGTGATGACAGGTCATAGGTGAAGTTATTGTTTTGTTCCTCCACTGCAATCCCCTCGTCCTAATGGCGGATTGCTTCCCCCTGCCCAGAAGCTGCACTGCCAAATTCCACTGAGGGAGATCTGCTACATGCGAACCTTGCGCTTGCTGGATGAATGTGGCTCTCCCGGCCTGGAGGTGAACTATGGCTCAGTTGAAGATCCCAAAACAATTTGGTTCGAACTGAAACAGGTAATGGTGGTGGTAGCCATCTCTTCTTTTCTGCAGGAATTGGCCCTGGGCTTGCCAGAATGGTCCACCAACAACTCTGGTCAAAAACGCAGACGGGCATTTATAGTTCTAAACTACAGAATGATGTGTTGCTTGTGAAAGAGTAAGGGCACCAATGTGGGAAGGTACGTGGGAAATACAGACAGATGGCATGTGAGTGGATCTGTTTTATTTGTGTTTGTATTTTGACAGGCGAAAGAGTTGTACCATACAATTGCCATCATCATTGCCAAAGAAGCAAGAGAGTCAGTGGTTTAGAAGCAGCCCATGGAAGAGCCAAGGAATGTATTTTCTTCCCCTACCTCTGAAGTAATTAATTCTCCAGTTCCTCTTTATATGTACCACATATATCCCATTTCACCAAGCAGCCTTAAACTTTGGGCCCCTACAATAGGTGTAGCACCAGTGCTTCCTTTTACATTACACATCATGTATCCAGTGAAGCTGCACATCCCTGTCAGCTTTTTGGAGTGACGTGTATTTGCTGTAAGAAGAACCAGATTCACAAAAACAGTGTGGGTTCTCACTCCATGCTTGTACGGAAAAGACTTAGGCTAATACTCCATCTACAGGTTGTCATGGTATTAGATATTTTTCCTGGGATTTTTTTTGTACTAAGGTACAAGACCTGCCGTGACAGAAGTGAATCTCTCTTTGATGTCAGCTTATTTAATTAGTGTTTATATTTAAACATGTTTGAAAAAATTACTATTTAATTGTAATTAAGTAATAATATAAAAGTATGGTTTGAATCTTAAATCAAATACAAGCATGTTTCTTCCCAATGGGAATAGCAGTAAAAATGCTCATTAAGATGGGCAACCTTTGTGGGGATTCAGGTATGACTAAAATATACCTCAAGTCAGAGGTATTTTTAAAAATAAAAAATTAATTAGGGCTCATAGAATTTGTATGTACTTCGAGTAGATTTTATCAGATAACACGCAGCCACTGAAAAGTGTTATTCAAAAATAAATTTCTGCATATTTGAGGCTAACAAGGGACTCATTTAACTTTTTGATGAAATGAATGCTCAGTAAGCCAATGCCAGTTGATTATAACTGTATGTTGCTCCTCATAGCTCCATAGGTGCTAAAGATAACATGAAGGGACTGTGGTATCTTCATCAGCACAAACATTTCTTGCCAAACCCCAAATATACTGGTTAAAATACCAACATAGGGGGATCTTAGGGTTAAATCCAGTTATGAGTACTAAGCAAAATAGATTGACTGAATTAATGGGACTTTGGTAAGTCAACATTTATATAAGTCCAACTGATTCAATGGGTCTTGCTTTATTTGGGAATGAAAGCTGCTTGAAGTCCACTGGCCTTCAGACAATGCCAGGAGATTTCTAAGCAGCCATCTGGCCTGGCAAGTCCAACCTAGAAATGGTCAGGCTGGAGGCTTAGCATTTCCTCAGTCACAGCACAGAAACTGGGTGGGTAGGTGAAGCAGCAACCAATGCGATTAGTAGGCAGTACTACATATATAGACTGGCTTGGTATGAATTAGAGATGGTGGTATCCGTATAGGAATACCCCCACACAGCTGGACTTAACGAGGGTCCGGCCCCCTGGGGCCAGACCATCCACTCACGCGTCTGGCCCCGCTCTCCCTTCCAGTCACTCAGGAGCTCCTGTTCAGCTGGCCACTCTTCAGCCTGCCAGGAGTGGCTAGCCAACCGGGCACTCTAGAGCAGTTGGAAGGAGGAGCTGAGCTGGCAGCAGCAGCGTGAGTGGATGGTCCGGACCCAGGGGGCTGGACCCGCGTTAACTCCAGCAGCGCAGGGGTATTCATATCATATATGAATACAAATACCCCCATCTCTAGTATAAATATTAAGAACCTTGCCATTCTCTCTTGGCTAGAGAGCAGAGTAGTACCTTCTGTTTCTCTCTTTAAGATTTCAGCTGCTAGTGACAGATCTCAAAGAAGCGGGACTACACAGCACACCACCAAGATTATATTTAACTACAAGCTGACATTCCCACACACCTGTCTATTCCTACCACTCAAACCACTAACATCTTGTTTAATTTCTTGGCACTTAAAACACTTCTCACACTAGCATGATTCTTAGGAGTTTTTAAAATTCATGTGAAATCATATAAGCTTCTCAGTTTGAAATAACTGTGAATCTATCTGTACAATTAGGTGTATAGCTGGGCTGGATAGTTCAGCGGTTTAGGTATATGGCTGGGAAGCAAGAGGTTGGGAATACAATTCTGCCCTACACGTCCTTGAACAGCTTGCCTTTGTTGCCTTGGGCAAGCTGGAGGCTCGAGAAAAGGGAATGGTTCTCTATGTTCTCTATCTAGAAAACCCTGGAAAGGGTTGCTGTAAATCAGAATCAACTTGATGGCACACATATTATTATAGTTAGGTGTGCAGGTGGTTTTATACTGCATCTTAGAAGTTTAAACTTGCAAGTAAATTCAGTCTCTTTTTTTCACTTTGGATGGATGTTCTCAAAGGCGTTCATGGCTGGGATCTGATGGTTTTTCAGGCTGTTTGGCCATGTTCTCTAGAATACATAGTTAAAATATATACAGTGGTGCCTCGTATTGCAACGTTAATTCGTTCCGCAAAAATCACTGCAGAACAAAAACGTCGCTATGCGATATTAAAAAGCCCATAGAAACTTATTAAAACTCGATTAATGTGTTCCTATGGGCTTAAAACTCACCGTTCAGCGAAGATCCTCCATAGCGCGGCCATTTCTGGTGCCTCTTAAGCGAGGAATCCGTCCCAGAAAACAGCGAGTGGCCATTTTGTTTACCCGGCGGCCGTTTTGAAACCGCCGATCAGCTGTTTTAAAATCGTCGCTTTGTGATGCTCGGTTCCCGAAGCGGGGAACCGATCATCGCAAAGGGAAATTCCCCCATAGGGAACATCGCAAAGCGATTTCGTCGCTAAACGGAGCGATCGCTATGCGAGGCACCACTGTATTTACTTAGGGTTGCTTGGCCGTGTGTGTGAGTGAGTAGTGTATTTACATCAATTGAACAGGCAGAAGTCTGCCTGCCATGGCATAAAATTAGATTAATAACCTAAAAGAAAGTCAATTCAGACTTTCTAAAACCACACCAGGAGTCACAGACTTCACTTACCTTGCCATTCCATACAACTTTGTCAAAAATAATGTAAGCAGCCAATGGAGCACATTTTACATTGATTTTATTTGCAGTTAACTAAGCCTAGTTCCCCAAGTACAAACTACAGTATTTAGAAGACTCCTCTCCTGTTTGTCTGTGAGCTTCCAATCAGAAAGTTCAACAGCTCCTCAAGAGAGAACTAAGGCACAGGTCAACAAAATGCAAGCATAAAAAATGCTGTTCCAAGCAGGAAATCTTAACCTGTTTTCAGTTCTAACAATATATAAATAAAGCAGCATCTTCCTCACAAGCTCTGAGCAGTTTTGCCCACTGCAGAGTCATTGATTAGCATCATATTGGAGGTACAAGTGCAGCAATATGGCTTTTAGAATTCACTTTTTTAAAAGAGTGCAATATTTTGGCTGTTACCTTTTCCAAATGCACATCCATTTTCAATAACTGGTAATTCAAAGGACAACATTCCATGTTGATTTTAAGGCGCATTTATGAAACGTTTTGTGTATGCATGTACGTCTCTAAATGCAGCACACATTTTACACAGGTACAAATGTCAAGGGTCCAGGACAGGACCTAGTTCCTTGTCAGATATCAATAAATCTGTAGAAGTATAAATAAGAATAAATCTTCAGGCATTCATTGGAATTACTTGTCAGTAAAGCTTATCTCTATGAGCTCATTATTAAGGGGTTACTCTGTACCTCAAATAAAAATGCAAGATAAATAATGCAGTGTTACTGTACAAGAATGCATACTACTGCAATTGCATTTCTCCTTAAAGATATATTACGCTTTTCCTTTTACTGTTGTAGATATTCATGCAAATGCCCCTGCCTCCGTAATGCTCTAACCGTAATGATACGTGCCTCTTCCCTATACAAAAACAAGACCATACTAATAACCAACATCTGGAGATGGGCCAGGGCGTTAGCCCACAGCCTCTGTTTATTCCTGAGGTTTCACAGAAGGAGAAAAATCCTACCTTGAAAGCTGCACATGCTGATGAGTTATAATAGCCTTTATAAATGAAAAGCTCTGCACATTCCTGTTCCTATTAATAAAAGCTTGCAATTAAATCTTGGAGAGCATAAGAAAAAAGGACTTTCTACAACTTTCTACTTAAAAAACAGACTCTTCGACCCTAACAACATATTACATAGAATCTTGATGACCACTGTGGACTGAAGGCTAATAGACATGGATTCGAAACTTTGCATGAAGGCAGGGCATTTGACGTGGCCATTTGGTGTGACAAAGCAGAAGGCAGAGATCCACCACCACCACCAAATTGGGTTGAATGGCTCTCTTCAAAGCAGCACCCTCTTTTAAAAAACAAACAAAAGTCCTTGGGTTTTGTCACATGTAGTTTTCATACAACCTTGAGTCAAATAAAATAAATATTTCAACATGTTAAGAGAATATCAAACAGGAACTGTCCAAAACACTTTTCCAGAATCTCCTTCCAATGTCAAACTAGACAGGAGAGCTCGTCAAACTAATGTGCTCTGGAACAAGTTGCTCCTACAGCACAGAAACCCTGACAGATGCAGGTGTATGTCTTGTATTTAAGGCTGCTCCTGGCGAAAAAATATAATCCACCTCAACAAACATTGGGGCCAGACAATCTTGGGTGGCAGCATGATTCCTAGCCATATGCACAAATTCAGATCCCTCACAGGACACCTAAAGAGGGGTGTGACATATATCTGAGAGCACACCAAGGAAACATTTGTTGTGCACCAAAACACTTCTTCCTAGGGATGCTCTCTGCTAAAATTCCCCCCTCCCAGCAAAGCACACCGCCAGCGAAAACTCTCAGAGGACCAGGGGGTCCAGCAGCTACAGGAAGTAGAAAAGAGATGCTGCATTTCATGGGTCATGTTTCCAAGCTGGTCAAATTCTGCCAATCCATCTCATTTTCACACTTGCTCCGGTTTTTGAAAAATGCTCTGATCAACTTCTGTGCCTCTTCTTTCACTGCAAAACAAAACAGTAATATCCAAAATGAGCATCTAAGCATGCTTGTCACTGTTTGCTGTTTACTCCCCTCTAACATGATCCTCAACCCACCAACTGGCCTCCAAGGGGAAAAGTCTGCACTAGCCTCTGTCTCCACACACACTACTTATTTTGCTACCAAATGCTGATCATGTACTGTATGTATGCATATAAATGGAACATCTTCCACTGACAAATTTTGTCAGGAGTTCATTCAATTTTGGAGAAGGAAATACAGCATTTCTCGTAACTGAGCTGACACTGGTAAAGGTGTGTAAGAAACAAGAATGGCCATAGCTCAGAGGCATGTACTAGGGCTAAAGACAGTAAGTATACACATATTTAAAAGATCAAACACTCAAAAATAGTAAACAAAAGCAACACTAAAACCATATTCAAAGCAGGAAGGCAAAACAATCCATTAAAAAACCCCACTCAAGCAGCCAGTTATTAAGGGAAAGCTTGCCTAAAGGGAAAGGTCCTCTGCTTGTGAAAGGACAGCAAACATAAGGACAGCCTGGCTTCGGGCAGGTGGGGGGGAGTTCCAAAGTCTGGGAACAGAGAGGGCCCTCTCCCATACTCTGGCAAATGCACCTGTGAAGGTGGTGGAACTGAGAGAAAGGCCTTAAATTATGAAATTAAGTTGGACAGGTTCATAAAGGTAGACACAACCCTTGAGATAGCTTGGGCACAAGCTTTTAGGGCTTTTTGAATGGTGCCCAGGAACAGATCGGCAGCCAGTGGAGCTGCTGTAACAGGAGGCATGTGATCCCTGTGACCAGTCCCAGTTAGCATTCTGGCTGCCGTGTTTTGGACCTGCTGAAATTGCTGAATACTTTCCAGAGAGAGACTCATGTAGACAGTTTAACACGAATCTAGCTGGAATGTAACTACAAGCATGTGTCGCTGTGGGCAAATCAGGTGGGGGGGAGTTCCAAAGTCTGGGAACAGAGAGGGCCCTCTCCCATACTCTGGCAAATGCACCTGTGAAGGTGGTGGAACTGAGAGAAAGGCCTTAAATTATGAAATTAAGTTGGACAGGTTCATAAACGTAGACACAACCCGTGAGATAGCTTGGGCACAAGGTTTTAGGGCTTTTTGAATGGTGCCCAGGAACAGATCGGCAGCCAGTGGAGCTGCTGTAACAGGAGGCATGTGATCCCTGTGACCAGTCCCAGTTAGCATTCTGGCTGCCGTGTTTTCGACCTGCTGAAGTTGCTGAATACTTTCCAGAGAGAGCCTCATGTAGACAGTTTAACACGAATCTTGCTGGAATGTGACTAAAGCATGTGTCACTGTGGCCAGATCTGACCTCTCCAGAAACTGAACACCTCCAGTTCCTAAACCTTATTGTTATTCAGACACAATAAGCACAATAATGTAAATCACACTGACAAAATGCCACCATTACCAAGTGGCTGCTGCTTGTATCCCATATTTTGTGCCAATAATGTGACTTGGTGTGCAATTTTGAATACAAGTGGTGATTCATTGTTGTTGTTGTTTAGTCGTGTCCGACTCTTCGTGAGCCCATGGACCAGAGCACGCCAGGCCCTCCTGTCTTCCACTGCTTCCCAGAGTTGGGTGATTCATTAGTTAGTGGCAATTCACAGCTGCAACTTATGCCATTGTACTTCTGCCAGCAGACATAACCAACAGGATTAAGACCACAATTTATATATTTATAAACATTTTCTTCAATCACATTAGCTTTAACATTCTCCCTGCTCAGCTGACAGATTTTGGTATTGGTCAGACAGACAGTCCTGGTATAATGATGCTAGGACAGATTTAAACCACACAACACAAGGCAGAGGAGACTCCTTTCCATCATCATCTGAGAACTCACCCGTCTTACGAAGAGGACTCTTGTCCGCAGCCAGCAAGTGAGAGAGGTGCCGGGCAAACCCTTTAAACAGATCCTGTCAGAGGCAAAAAAGAGCAGCACTAACAAAGTGAAGTTCTCTCTTTCACTAGCATTTGATTGTTGTGTTTTTGTACAACATGTACCAAATATACTAAGGCATCTTATTATGCCATGATATTATTGCCTCATGAAAAGATTTGTACAGAATGTCAAGGTATGTGTTGCACAAAGGAAAGGTGCATCAAAATTTTATATTTTCTATGTAGAGAATGCTAAAATAATTAAGGACAGTGTAAAAAAATCAAACTGAAAATGCAGATTGTGGATTAAAAAATGAGGTTTGAACAGTTGTATGTTAAAGGCAGGAAAATAAGCTAGTTCTCCATCCAAAGTCACAGGGAAAGCAATTTCAATGTAAAAATAACATTGCCTCACAAAGTAACTAACCTGATACCTCATAGTATCTTTCCTAGCAAGCTAACTCTTGAGCATGGATATGTACGCACTAAGAAAACCAAAACATTGGGGGAGGGGGGAGTCATAGACTATTTTAATCCTACAGCATTGTGATACACGTATAGTTAATTGGTGCCTCCCAGATTATTTCATCGGCTCTCTGCTTACTAAAGAAAGTTATACCCAAGGAGATTTCTATGGAATCAGTTTGCTCTCTTAGCAGACGTTCAAGGGAACAAGTCAAAACCTAAACAAACAGTTGCTTGCTTATGAGTTTGCAAGGTTAGTAAGAGTAATGTAGTGCTTGGACGTTATCGTTGGAGTATCATACTTGAGGGGGGGAGTCATAGACTATTTTAATCCTACAGCATTGTGATACACGTATAGTTAATTGGTGCCTCCCAGATTATTTCATTGGCTATCTGCTTACTAAGGAAAGTTATACTCAAGGAGATTTCTATGGAATCAGTTTGCTGTGTTAGCAGACTTTCAAGGGAACAAGTCAAAACCTAAACAAACAGTTGCTTGCTTATGAGTTTGCAAGGTTAGTAAGAGTAATGTAGTGCTTGGACGTTATCGTTGGAGTATCATACTTGACAGGTGCATCTGACCTACTGAGCTAACGTTATCGAAAAGTGATAAGCAAAACTCTTAAGATACTTGGGTGGTATTAATGCCTCACAAGATGCAACAAATTGTCCTGCAACTGAGAACAGTACACTCAAAGAACCAGCAGAAGGCAGCTTTCACAGCTATTGCTCCTCAGTTATGGAACATTCTCCCCTTGAATGCTTGAACAGTGCTAGCACAGCCTTTGGGGTTTAAGATCTTCATTTGTATAGTTTCTGCTTTGTAATATTTATCTTTTTAAATGGCTAACATTCTCTAACATTTTAAGAGCTGTTTTAAAATGTTAAAATATCCCAAGGTAGGACACAAGAGGAACAGTATAAAGCCATTGAAATGATTAAATATTTTTAATATTGTAAAAATATTTAATCATTTCAACGGCTTTATACTGCTCCTCTTGTGTCCTACCTTGGGATATTGGGCAGGATATAAATATCAGACATATTGTGGAAAGGGCCAATCAAATTTAAAGGGCAGCAAGGAAAGAAAATAGCAGTTATAGTCTCTTCCAACTATGGCTCATAACTCACCTTTGAAGCAAATTTGCCACCTTTGTAGAATGGAGTCAAATATTTTACAACAATTTCTGCTGTTTCCTTAAGTGACAATGCCTTTGTCAGCGGCTGGATGATTTTGTTGGTTCCTTCCTTATCAATGTGTGAAAAGTTTGGATCAAAAGTGACTTTCTTTTTCACTGGTACACCATCTTTTGCCTCTGGTGGCAACACTGTGGAAGACGTGCTCATCATCCTCAGCCTCTTTTCAGCAGGACTCTCGAGGTCCTTAAGAGAAGAACAGGGGCCCATGAAAGAAACATCAACTCACCTGTCTCAAGGACAGGGACTTTCTGCAGTACAAAAAGAAGAAGATGGAAGAGGCACTGGGAATGCACAAGAGGATTACAGGAGGATTATAATGTGTAATCGAGTGATTCCAAAACACGTCTTCATCTGAAAGTAGCCATATTGAGACCTATTTCATAGGAACAATGATCACAGATCATAGATATCTACAGATCCAGTCTTTTCATCTACTTGTAAGTTAAAACTTCTGGAACATTCACCACAACTTTGTCAATGTATAAAATTTAGAACTGGGAGGTTTTTTTTAATAAATTGTTCTGATTCATTTTTCTTGGGAATACCTTGTCTCCCTATCGACTACCATAAAGAAAAAATAATAGGAAAGGTTTTGAAATAACCAGGCCTTCCTCCAGGATAGTTTTATAATTTACAAGAAGAATGAACGGAACAAAAATTACAGCAAACCAAAGGCAAATCAGTGGCTTTGGAGCCAAACTAGACAACAAGAGACACCAAAAAATGGTTCACAGGCAGACTGGCAGACCTTCCTGTCTGTTTTGGATACCTCAGTGACCTAATTATAATCAGGTCAAGAGGCAGGAGCTCCCTGAGAAATGCCACTAGAACATCAATGATTATTAGCATCTAATTGACCTCCAACAATTGCTTTAAAATCTCAGATTACTACAGAAATTATTACAGATTGTTAATTATTGATATCACTTTTTTGCTATGTCACCTATGGAAGACTATGTGATTAAGTCATTTTTAGAAATTATTTCTATCTTCTTTTCTATATTAAAAGTCATTAATATATTGGATTGAAGCCATCTGTTTGATTACTGCTGAAGTTCACTTATGCTATGCCGCAGTTTTACTGTCTGACCATTACATTCATCTATGGGTGGATCATGCCAACTCCACCTTCTACCTGCAACCAAATGTCTGCTAAACATATCAGCATGTTCTCTTTTACTATCCAAAGGACACTGCCTCTCTACAGCCGCATTCGATCTAAATGCATTTGCCCAGTTCTGTGGAAAGAGAAAAACACCATCAGGCATTTTTGAAATTGCACTCACCTGGGAAAGGAAAGAAAGAAATCCACACAGACAGAGGGTTCCATGGGAGATACACTAAGATCCAACAAAGACAGGGATCTTTGCCACTTCTTGACATCACCCTCAGTCATGTTTCTACACCCGTATTCCAGCCAATACACACCCTGGCCCCTTTCTACTGGCCGTTGAGTGCACTCTCTTCTCATAAGCTCCTGCCAAAGATCTTTTGCCAACATCCTAGGTTTAGATCAGAGATAATGGAACCAATAAAGGGAGACTTTTAATATCAAGAGTAGCTCACCTCAGTTGATCCTGGTCTCTTTCCATTAAGGCTTGTGTGACTCTTGGCCGTCTCATCTTCCACCAAAAATTGAACATTGCTTGAGAGAGGAATAATGAAACAGCTCTAAATTATTAATGGCTTTTATTTTTTTTTACAGAACCACAAACAGAAAGAAACACCAACCCAATTTTAAGCACTTTTGCTGAGTGGCTTTCAACAAGGTAACCCATGGCAATGGTGGTGGTGACGAATCCCATGTTTTCAAATAGTGGACAAGTCCTGCAACAGTTTCTGCAACTACTGTTACACTGAATCAGATCATCAACACAAAAGACATCTCTAACCTAGGCTTGATTCTGCAACTCTTGTAAGAACACTTGCATTATTATAGCCCAAACACAAGCCAAGCTACGCATGGCTTTTCCACTATCATCTCTACTCAACAGCTTCTGAAATGGCCTGAATCTAAGTGTACCATGACACAGCAGTTACCTCTGAATTCCAATCTGAGTTCCTGGAGGATCAGAAAAGTCTGTGGAACTTACGAACCATCCCTTCTTCTTCTTAGACAACTTTACTCTCCCTGTTATACTCCTACCAAAGGGATACCAACTGAGAAGCACAAAAAACATCTCACCTTGGTTTTTCAACAGCTGAATTTAAATATGGAGATACTGCTCCTGAGGTAGGACTTTGCAAAGTCATACTTCCTTCTTCCTTCCCAGAGTTTTGTTCCCGTATCTGTGAAGAGCTAGCTTTTTCTTCTTTGGAGACAGTTTCTGTTTCCTGAGATGGTGTTTTTTCCTCACACAGTCTTTGGGAAGGAAACTGAAGTGGTTCACTGAGATGACTGTTCCTCCCTTCTCTCAAATCATCCTCCAAAGCTAAGGCCTTAGGCCCTGCTTTGGGAATGGAGAAAAATTTTGCAATGTTCTGAGATTCCTTCCGAGCTGCTTCTGCCAGCATTTGCTGCTTCTTAGTGGGTTTGCCCTTCTTAGTGGGACTGACTCCCAAGGAGGCTGTAAAATTGGAGATGCTGGGTTGTCCTTTCTTCTCGTTTGCCCTTCTTAGTGGGACTGACTCCCAATGAGGCTATGCTGGATTGTCCTTTCTTCTCAGGGACTTCATCTGTATTTTTGCTGACTTCTTTGGTTGCTTTCACCTTTTTCTCAAGTCTGTCACTGATGCCTACAGACTCAGTGGCAGATGTAGTCCAGTTTGGACTCATTTCCTCCTTCACAATATGAGCTTCGTTGGGATCTTTGGTAGCCAGAACATCTGAAGCAGACTGGAACACACTAGATGTCTTTCGAAATCCAATCCCCACTCTCTTGGGTTTAAACTATATTGGAAAGAGATGAAAGACCACCAGATGACTGGACTTTTCTCTGGGCATGTAAAATCAGAACCTAGACTATCCAAACAGAGATGGGCTTAGGCTGACACTGTTCCACATTACGTTTTTCCTATATGGAAAGTATTAATAGATAGCAGCAATATGGAAAAGCCTAAGAAAGAAGAAATTATGGAAGTGAAATCTCATAGCCCCTAGGGGAAAGGCTGTGATTGGAAGAGCTTCATTAGTATTATGTAATTAAGAAACACTATTTATGGTTTAAAAGTTCTCATCTCTACTTACTGTGTTCACCTTGGATGCCTGGAAGTACTCATCATCAGCTGTTGCAGCTGGTTCAGTTTTCACCTCAAGACAGCCATTGACACCTGAAGTAAGGGTGGAATATAGTTCCCCCTCTTTGGAAGCTTTGTTAATTTCCGATACCTGCATAAAAGAGAAGAATTGTCCTCAGGGATCCCTATCACTCACGTAGCATTTTTTCTGAACACCAAAAGCAGCACAAATAGCAGCTTACATGTAAGGAAATGTTCACAAGTTATACTCCTTTTGTCCAAATGAATTACTGTAGAATTACTACTGGGATCAATTTCAAGTAGAGTTATTGCTTGTATTTATTTCAGTCATTCACCTCTTGTTTGCATATTTAGCTCCTCTTACAACACAGAAGATAGGCTGATCCCCCCGCTTCTGCTGAAACAAACTAATGGAAAATATTCCCATAATGCTTTTGTCCTTTCAAATATATATTTTAGATAATAGTGCATTAAATATATATATAAATCTATATTCTACTTATAAATGCAGATTCCAGATGAAATACAGAAAACAGTTAACCAGTATAGAATCCATAAAATTGCAAATAAAATCAATTAAATTAATTGGACAGATCAAAATGTTGTAGCCTAAAACAAGTTAGCCAAACAGACCCAAGGACAGCATTTCCACCACTGGGAATAGCTATGAAAACACCCTCTTTTCTGGTCACTATTCCCCTCTTAACTTCTGATCATGAGACACCACGAGAAGAGTCTCCAACCAAAACAATCCAGATCCTGGTACAAGGAACAAGCATTCTGTCAAGTATTCAACTAACAGAGTAGTAGTTGGAAACTTGCAAGCAGTTATTGTCTTAGATCTAATTGCTTTTTTAAAAGACCAATGTCTCCAGTGCAATTAGGTCTGGTCTAAAAACCTTATCCTTCCTTGATTCCTATCATCCAGAAACAATGGCCCCATAAAGGTAAATGCTAATTCTAATAACTATGACAATAGAACATAAAGTCTAAGTTGTGTTTCTGCTTTACACACACATGGAGAATATATGCAACTACTTTCTTTTGTGGAGGTACACATTTTAAGAAGTCAAGGAATCGAGGAAAAGAACCCAAGTCTATTTTGTCCGTTGGAATAGTCATAGGTTTCTTACCTTCTTTAGAACATTTGCTTTGTACAGGTTTGCTGTCTTACTAATCTGGAATGCCTTATATTCCATTTCCACAGCCCATGCAACAGGATCCGAGCTGAAACGAAGGACAGAGAATGATGATGATATTATTTGTCTACATTAAACCAAAACCCAAACTAGAATGAAGCTACCTTGCCACTTCATTGAATTTTCTAGTGTAGAAAATATGCACACAAAGATGCATATAAAGATAATTTTTAAAAATGCATTATATTAAGGAAAATGGCATATTTTAGATAATAGTGCATTAAATATGTGCACCATTGGAGAAGTTTACACAAAAATGCTTAATAATTTCATGAGGGCATGTACACAAGAACTTTAAACTGATACAGAAAGATGCTGATACAAACATAAGATTGAAAAAATGCAAAACTGAAAGAGTAATCAAAACTGACAAATTTGTCTATCCCTAGAAGAATCAGCCTCACATTCCCATCAACCATGGCAGGGTGCATTTCTCCAATACCAGAGAACACGCTGAACATTTTTCAATAAGGGTTGGAGCTGGCAGAACAGTGATGCCAGCATGCAGGGTAAACATGACTAACTTAAATCTATGACTGGGAGAAAGAATTGAAGACAAAGTAGGAGAATTTATTTATTTTATTTATTTATTCTATTTATATCCCGCCTATCTGGTCATATGACCACTGTATTCCTCCTCTGAAATATTTCTGGTCTATTGCATGTTTTATTGCACTTTCACATGGATATCTTATTTTCTGGTATCAATACACCACACACCTTGTTACTCTCTGGTGGGAACAGAACAAAACTGCAACTACGAATCACTGGAAAGTTAACTAGCGTGGCCGCGTGCTTTAAAAAAATAAACTAAGATACACATTCTTGTCCCACCCTCTGCCTCCGCATCCCCAAATTTACAAAGTAATGTAAACATGACTGCACAAATGTCTATTTCGGTTTATGTACAAGCAATGAAAATCCCAATCTTGTCACTTCTGACAGTAACACGTGTTGGGTTTTAACAAAAAATGACATTTGGCATGACTTGCCAATTTTAACCTACAAGCTTAGAGCAGTTTTCCATAGTTCAGAATATGGCAACAGTATGCACATTTCATTTTTTGACGTTATTTATAGCCAGCTGTTCTAAGAAACTTTCCCAGGGCAACTTGAGAACAGAAATAGAGATACAATAATAGAACTGAAATAACAAAGTGATAAAAAAATTAAGAAAAACTAAGCACCTAAACATTGGTGACTGGTTTCATTGCTCTTATAACTATATAATGAAATATGGGTTAAAGTGATGGAATTTGCTGCTGGCATCCAGTTCATAGAGTAGTTGCTAATGAACCATTTTAGTTAACAGTAATTCATTCTAATAATCTTGGTGACCTTATTGCTTTGAATGTGTTTTTGGTGTTGCTTTGTTTATAGTCTTAGTGCTTTTGTTTGATCTTTTTTAGTATTTGTATACTTATTGCTTTTAGCTTTAATTACTGTCTTTTAATTATGTAAGCCACTTTGTATACTCATTGTTTCTAGCTTTAGATATTGCCTAATGATCTAAGCCGCCTTAAGTCCTTTTAAAAGAGAAAGGCGTTGTAAAAATATTTTAGATAGATAGGTAGGTAGATTGACTCAGTACGGATAGAATGCCTAGACTTGCATGAGTTTTCTGCTCCCTATTTCCCTGTGACCGCAGAGGAATGAAGGCAGACAGCAAAAGGAGATACTGTGGGGAATGGGAGGCTTGCAAATGGATCTTGCATGGCATATGAAGTGAGGGCTTGATGATCAACATAGGCAGATACAATGAACCTGCCAGGCTCAGCAATGGTTCCCACATTTTTTTGCATAATAAGTAGCATGTCAGTGTGCATGCATTGGTGGGGCAAAAGGACTCAAGAGAGACCTGTGTGGTTATAACTCCATACCCATCTCTTGTTGGTGCTGCTTGCTGGTTGCTGCTGAGTGCTTCTTCCAGCATCTTCAGGCAGTGTTCTCTAGCCTAAAATTGAAGGGAGACAACATGATAGCCTTCGAAGGGAAGCATTAGCTCCAAATCTGCAGTCCCGGGGCTGGTATCTACCTTTTGTCTACCCAAGCTTAGTTTTTCCTAAAAGGTGGCCCATCCCTAGAGTCCAATGAAATAAGTGTATCTTTTACTGGAGCACTGGCCTGATCCACCTGTAGCCATGCCTAACAGATGATCCCACATGGTGGTGTGCATTTCCATCAAAATATATAGTTTTCATGATGATGCCCCTTACTTCATATAAACAAGTAGCCTATAGAAAAAACCCATACGCTAATCAGCCCTTGGAAAGCTGTAAAACAATATGATTTGGGACAGAAGAAATTAGGCTAATATGAAGGATTTCGTACGAAGGAGTGTGGAAACTAGAGTGCACTGGGATGAAATGCAAGATTCTTTTGTCTCTTCTGGGAGAGGGCACGTCTAGTGGCAGAACCAATAAAAATCTCTGCTTACTACAATGCAGATTTGAATATCAAATTTGTATCAGTAACATGCAGGAAAAGTGGTGTACATGTGCAAAGCTTCCTACAGTAGTAGGATACATGTTTTACTATTACAGGAAGTAGGAATGGGGGAAAACATTCTTAAAATCCTTCTGTTATGAAAGTCAGCTGATATAACCGCTCTTTCTTCTCTCGAGACTAAATATAAATGAGTTTCTTTTCCCTGTTTTCAGTTCTGAACTGTCTTCTAATATTACTTGTTCTTTCTGCAATCTCTGCAACATACTGGTGGTGTTCCTCAAACACCGAAATTGAAACTGGAAACATCCTTAAGTTACTCCTATTCTAGTACTCCATACAGCTTTAAGATTATGAAATACACTTGGCAGAACTCTTCTTCCAATGGTGGAATAAGTAAACTTCATACAGCTGCAGTCTTTCAGTCCCAAACCAATCCTTGTGAGATGCAGAAGCTGCCCAGAGTGCATAAATATCTGGATTCTCAAATGGTGGCCCCTTTCCCATTCCAGCAGGGGTGCTTTTTTCAAAATGTGGAGAGGGACACTTCACTGCACTGGCAGCAGCGGAGGGGAGAAGAGAGATGGAGAAAAAAAAGCTGGTGGTAGAAAAATATGGGGTGTGGGGCTGGGTGGGTGCCAACCTACTTGTTGGCTCTGGCTCTACTTGCCACCTGACCTAACCTTCTACTGACCTCCCCTAATAAGTTTATTGGCCTTTCAGAATAATGATGATTTTTTTTTAATCCTTACCCTTTTTACTCCTTCAGCACACTTTCTGTTGTGCCAAACTTTTGTGTATTGTTCCCCATTTTCAGCATCATGACTTGAATAGCTGGAAATAAGGAAATGACCTGCACCAAATTCCCCTCACTTCTTACCTTCACTGTGATCCGTGCAATTTTCCTGCTGGCTGCATCCTTCAAAGGACAATCAGCATCTACCATGAGACACAGATACACAAACAACACTGTCACGCTCCATGTTTTCTGTTATGGGGCCGAATCTCTTGCATATGACAGAAAGATGACCTTTGATTATATAAAATATCAAGTTTGCCATTTCCCATTATTCCTCAGTTTTCCAAATGTCTTTTGTGCTATTCATGGTGGTGTCCACATAGCTTGTATAATTAAGATGCAAGTGCCATAATAAACATATTTGGAAATTAAGTCCAACCACTGGGGTTCAGTTAGGTTTTCAACATGACAGTTATTATCACTGACAAAGCCACCCACAATATTTATGTAAAATAAGGAATAGGCAGAGAGTTACCTAGCCAACAGCTTTGGCCAGAGTTGAGAGTAGATACAGTGATAAGCCCACCCTACTGGATCACATTAATGTTGGACTTCAATCGAACATAACATCCTGAGCTCTTTAGCTCCCTGTACAGGTAGTGCTTCATACTCTGAATAGTGATCCATCATCCATTAAACATACTTCAACAAAAATGGCTCAATGGTATAAGCAGCCTATATTATATGAGTTGTAACATGTACCAGTGCAGATTTCTCAATCTAATGGAACAACAGAAACTTGAATGACCATGATCTATGAAATAACACAGAAATTTACCTGGAGGGACAAAATTGTCCTGTTCTACTTCATTACTCTGAAACAGATCAAAAGAAGGGGAAATCTGGGATATAAATAAGAAACTATATAAAAGGATCAGGGGAAAGCAGGTTTGATTCAGCATCTGAAATCCATGCCATAAGCACTGAGCATATCTCCCATGTTCACCTTACTGCTCTAAGCCAAAGGTGGCTATCTCTTCACTAAACATGGTCTGAAGTACAACTTGAGAACAGTATCGTATTCGATTTTCAGCACATGGAATGACATTTATTTGTTTGTTTGTTTGTTTATAATATTTTTTAGCTGCACCATTACCAGTGGCTTCTGGTTTTGCAGGTGGTTTTTACCCTTTTGTGGGTGTATTGCACAGAGTTGATTCCAAGACTGGCTGCACAACAGACACCCTGAAAAAAGGGCAAAACCCACTTGTGCAGTTGCTGTTCTGCATATGGGAAATCCAAGAGTACACTATCTTAAGTCTTTAATGGATTCTTCAAAGCATATGAAAACTGAAGCAAATTGCTAATCTCTCTCTTTTGCTTTTTCTGTGTGACAAATCAGGGCCCAGTGAAACCCATACACTTGCACGCCATACTCCCCAATCCACACAGACCGGTGCTGACTTCAGAAAACAACTGAGCAGACAGTGTTCTATTCACACAGAAAGGATGGTGAATTGTATAAAAATGGTTAAGGATAAGAAGAAAAACAGTAGCACTAACAAAAATGAAACCTTAACACACACACAAACACCCCTTTGAGTATTGTGAGGTAGAGTGCTGTAAAAATAGAGAATAAATGGTATCACCCTCTCTCACACAGAACAAGAACCATGCCAAAATGTAGACAATATGGACTAGGAGCTCTGCAGAAACTGAACAAGTTTCCACGTTTAGCATTACATGACTTAGATCTGATAGCTTGCACCAACTTAACTTATATCTCCTTACTCTACTTACACTTCCCTGCCTACATTTATTTCCTTTACAACAGAGCTGGGCAAACTGCAGCTCTCTAAATATTTTGGACTATAACTTTCAGCATTACTGACTGTTGGTAATGGTAGCTGTGAAGAATGGGAGGTATCTCCTGCAAAAAGGCTATCACCTTACCTTGCGCAACATCATCTGTTTCTTGTAAAAGTTACTCCATTCCTTTTTCTGATTGTCATCATTAGGTTCACGCACACTCCCACCATCTTCATCATATCTGAACAATAATCCAAAATAAATTGGAAACTAAACAGGAAAATCATATTAAGTGACTTCAAGTTTTCAATTAGCATCAAGGAGTGCTTGTTTAGCAATTGTTTAGCAATTACCTAGAAGTTCATATCAAGACTTCCTTGCAAGCTGGAATTTGGATGAAAGATGGAACCTGAATTATTACAGCTACTGATTTTCTTGTAGGCAACAGTGACTTCTGTATTCCCTGACCAAGCCCATGCTGCATATTGTTGATCTGCCCACACAAGGCTGCAAACATGAATGAATTCAACAGGTACAGGAGCCACAATGACAAACAAAAATGGACAGCAGTTGTGTTTACTGGGAGAGGGAAACATAGCCTCAATGTATTCAAACATTTGGACTTAATTTGTCCACCTCATGCCAAGAGAAGAATCATCAGTCAAGAAAAATACTAAATATGATCTGGACAAAGTTAATTAAGCCCTTTTAGATCACATGGTTCTGCCAGGTCTTTGCACAATTATACTTTGCGGATTAGCTCTTGCTCTAGCTGATTTATGAAGGGACAGTGGCTCATGAGATAATTCCTCTAGCCTCTGCATTTGCTGTAACTGGGAAGGGAGGAGAGGGCAGGATTCTAGACTTTTGTCTTCAAGTTTGAGAAATAAATACACAATAGTCAGAAGCAACAATTGGACTATGCAAAGTGAAGGAAATATGAAGGATCTTCACTTTTTCAAACAAACAAAATTGCTACAGCTTCTGTACAGCCAGGTCAACTTCCCAGCCTGTTTTTACCTGCAGCAGCCTCTTCTTCCTCCTTCATACAGGTCTGGGTCACAGGCGTTCCAAGCGGTAGTGGAGGGCCCAATGCAGGTTCGGCTCCAGCTACTGGTGCTGTGCTCCAAAGCTTCAACCTGCCTCTTCACAGCTGCCGGATTCTTACAGAAATCACAGCACTTGTTACATTGTGGGATGGCATCGCCAAAGAAGCTGGCTATGGCAGCGTGGCGGCAACTGAGGGGCAAGCAGAGAGTTGCATTGTTTGAGACAAAAGGGGTGGCAAAGAGGCAGCTGCTTGGCCCCACGTGGTTAGGCAAATCTAGAGAAATGCTGGTACTGAATGTACAAATAAGTAGAGGCTAAAAGTTTTAATGCTTACTTATAAGGCCCTAAACGGTTTAGGACCTCGATATTTGGCGGAACGCCTCCTCCCACCAAGGTCTACCCGGATCACCCGCGTGAGTCAGGAGGTGAGGCTGGGGAGCCTGACGCCGAGAGAGGCCCGGAAGGAGAAGACACGAAACCGGGCCTTCTCGGCGGTGGCTCCTCGCCTCTGGAACAATCTCCCTCCGGCGATTCGCGCAGCCCCCACGCTGGGCACCTTTAAAACCCAATTAAAAACATGGCTGTTTATTCAGGCCTTCCCTCCAGCCAACTCTTGATTTTTTTCTTATTTTTCCTTTTTATCTTTACTGCTGTTCTTGTTTGATTATTATGTATTTGTCTATGTTTTATTATTTGATTTTATATTTGGAAGCCGCCTAGAGTGGTTCGGTGGGCCAGATAGGCGGGGGATAAATTAAATAAATAAATAAATAAATAAAGAACTGTCAACAGTGAGGATAATCTGCTTGTCCAAGTTTCCAAGTCACTGTCCTTTACTGGCACTTAACTTTGGAATCATCTGAGTATGCAGCTGGGTAAACACGACATGTTGACAACTGCTCCTACCAACCCTTTAGCCAGATGTTAGGATAGCAGTTGTGACATTCCACATAAACCATAGGCATTTGAATAGTTACACAGAGACCTTGTTTTAGGGTTTGTCCGCAATGTCCTTCTCCCCATTCCACTTGCAAATGTCATCATGTCCAAGTGGAAAAACATTCTGGAATGCACTATTATCTCTAAGTGACAGCATGCATCATTTGACTAAAGATAGATTAGAACTGCCTGCATAGACAAAACAGCTTTCACACTGTTTGGGCAAAAGAGTTCCTTCAGAAAAGGAATGAGGCCTGTTTGCTTATTTTGCATGTAAAACAGTACTCTGAAATCTTATGGAGAAGTGTGTGCTAAAAGACAAGTGTAAATGCAAACATGATAACAGTTGATCTTTGAATAAGCAGCTACATACTGCCAGTCAATATGCCTTACCTGGAAAAACACTTTTGGACTGTAGCTCATTGATGAGGTGGCTACACTCCATGAAAGCTTATGCCAAATAAAGCAAGTTAGTCTTTTGTTCCAGTGCCAAATAACTCTTTGTTCCTTTAACAAAATATTTAGGTTCCAACTTACCAGTACATTATTTGACAAAGCAGAGTGCAAACCAACCAGAAAACAAGATCCCTGTGTAGCTGTTGTTATCACAGGTCGTATTTTTATTGGTAATGTTATAACCTAGTAAAGTCACTCATCAAGAAAAGCAATACAGTATCGGGTCTTTTCTCCTTAAAACTGATATTGAAATTGCTTTTAAAAACACTTAAAATCTGCTTTTCAAGAGGGTTTGAATATTTTAAATCTACTATAATTTTAGTCTGTCTACTGTTGGCCACTTTGAAAACACTAGCAGGCTGAAAAGCATTAAACACGGCTGGGATCTGATGGTTATTGTGGGTTTTTCGGGCTCTTTGGCCGTGTTCTGAAGGTTGTTCTTTTTGACGTTTCGCCAGTCCCCGTCGTGGGCACCTTCAAAGGAATAGAAGTTTAAATAAACAAACACATGCAACCAAACTAGTTTGCCAAAGCTGCTGGTATTTATAACCACAATATGGATGGGAAAAACCTCAGCTGCATTCACCAAGCACATCTGTATCTTCTTTTTCCATGTAAACAAATGAAACCAAAGGTATATTATGTCCCATGTATACACTCTTTTATACAGACATTGGGTAAATGTAACTCTAAGTATTCCCAAGAGCTTTAAAACTAATCAAATTGAACAGGAGCTAGTGAAAGAGCAATACTGGACCTCTGGTAGAAGAACCTCAGCAAAGCATCTCTAATGCATTTTAATATTACATATTGTTATGCCAGGCAACGGGGTGGGGCGGGGGAGAGAAGTGTCAAACACAAACTCTGAGCGCGCTGCTTTGAGAGCACTCCAGGTAAAACAAGCAGTTATCTGTGCTAAAATAGGAAGGGAGGGTGCCCCTCAGGTAGACAGAGCTGAGTCAGTTCCAATGCAGAAGGAAAGGGTGTGAAGTGAAAGATGTCACAAAGCTTGCTTTATGATCCCCACAAAATGGCACTGACTCACACCACTCTCTGGCTTAAAGAAAGCACTCTTTTCACAACCACTGAACAGACGATCTCATGTTGAATTTTCTCTCCCCGCCCCTCTAGAAATTGTTACCACTACTCATCTGGAAATGCCAAGGGTCTTCAGCAAAGTCAACCCTTTGTCTTTCAGAAAAGGAGATTTTCTCAGACAAAAACTTAATTCTATAATGCTAAAAGCACTCCTTTCCCTATTAAGCAGGGACCCATAAAATGGACATTCATTCTTCTCTCCCTTCCTTCCCCCCAAAGTATGGCTTCCATTAGAGTAATGGAATAACTCCACCACCATCGTTAAATCCATACCTTAAAAAACAAAGGGGGGGGGAAACAAGCTAGTAAATGGATAAGCAGTATTTTTAATAGTGAGCTAGATTTCTAAGGCCACAAGCTGAGCTCCCATACTGAGAGATACTGAAAAGTCCTTGGCCTGTCCGGGTCACTGGGTGCTTATGTGGCTAAAAAAGGGCCACTGTTCTGACACAGAAAAACCTACTATAGAATAAATTACCACCATCGCCGCACCCAGAAGAGTGGGAGACTCAGGTAGCATGAAAGTAGTTGCTAGTGATAGTGCCAGCCGTAGTATCACCAAGTTGGAGAATGCATTCATCGTTGGTGGTGGTGCCTGGATGGAGGTTCCCGTTGGGGCTGGTGGGCGCTAGGTTTGTTCAAGTTTTTACTAATTTTCATTTTCTTTGGTATTATTTTATTTTTGTACTTAATTTTGGATAATTATCCATGTGGAAGAGTACAAACATGTTGCCATCTCAATAAATAAATTGTTCATTCAATAAATGATCAAATGAATAAATAAATGCATTTAAATTTCTAACCCACTCTACTTCCAAGGATTCAGGATAAGAGCCAGCCTTCACTTGACAAAATACTACATAACATTCAGTGTAACCAGATTACATATGAGTCTCCACATATCTGATTATGGATAAACACCCCTGTTTAAATCCTTCCTTTTAAGGCACACAGAGTATCTAGATTTTTAAAATATTGTAACAGCAGAGATCTGTCCACAATCTCCATGTTAAACAATATGGAACAGAACAGAATAATCACTGAAAAAACAGTCACATCTGAGGAGCATCCTTGGAAAGAGATCTAAGTTTCAGATGTTTTCACATATTTTAAGTCTATGGCTTGATTTAAACACCCCTTTCGCTCCTTCCTCAATTATGTTGTTTCACACTTCTGCATTAAAACAGCTGCCCTTTCAGGTTCCCCCCACTCAGCCAGCAATATTGTTTTTCCTGTACATCAACCTGCAAAAATGTAGAGCAAAGCAACAGACGTGAGCTGTACTGGAGTCTCTTAATCCACTTTGATGTACATTTTTCTAAAACATAGATTTGGCCTGAGAGGCATCTTTTAAGTTTTCTCTTCCTTTACTGTTGTCATCTACAAAGGAGCATCTACTTTAGTAGCAGGCAGAATTTAGTAGCAGGCAAAAAAAATTGCTTCCTTTCATACACAAATACATGGAAGGGAACTGCCATTACTGTGGGCTAAGCTTTAACAGAAATGTCTTGCCACCAGCAACAACACCAACAAAAAGAGCTTCACATAAATCAAGAATTACACAATGAGATTGCAACAAGTGTTGTTTCCTGGACACTCTGCATTCAGAAGCCTGTACTAGCAGCTCAGCTCACCATGTGCTCCCTCCCCTTCTTGATGCACATGTAATATGAGACTTCACATCTCCAGGACTACTAACAACAGAGAGGGAGAGAGGACCGCAAGAGCGAGCAAGCGCAGGCAGGGAGAGCAACTGGCTGTCAGCAGCAGAGAAGTTGAGCAAGAAAGAGCTGGAGAGGGTCAAAACTGGGGGGAAGCAGCAACATGAAATGACAACAAAAAGAAACCACAAAGGAAGACAAAACAACCCGTCCTGCGACACTTTTGGGGTAAGCCTCATTTTTTGCCTCCAGTTATCCTACCACAACATCTGAACAAGGGAGGTGGGACTGTTTAGCTTAAGCCTGTGTTAGTATGTCATAGTACATATTGAAACACAAAATGGCAAAAGAAGGTGTGTGTGAATGAAACATAAAGCAGGGGAATTGCAGGGTAAGAGAGGCAAAGCTTAAGTGGAAAAAAAAAGATGTGCTGCAGTTGAGGCAGGGCAGAAAACCGCTTCTGTGTGCTCCCTTATATTCCCTGACACATGCCTGTCTTATGAACTAGAACCCTGAAAGACTCCCAAATCAGCAACAGGAAAAGTAATACTCTGCTCAAAGGAACAACTTAAATAGCCACATGAAAGGATGCGGGATAAACAAAATGTAAACAGGCCAGCTGTAAACAATTCTCCAATTTACATGGACTAGTTTGCAGAATAGAGCTCAGACGTTTTAAGGTATCTTCCCAGAACTTGGTCAAACATCACAGGGCCTTCTCTTTTCCAACTATCAACTAGATTTTGAAGGAATGCTGCAGAAGTTGCCAAATTATGTGATTAAATTTTGTAGCACTATTTGGGCCAAGAGCAACATCTCCACCATGAGCCAAACAGCCCTACCGCTATTGCGCACAAAATCAGGGTCTGTTTCTTTCTGGACTTTGTGCCAATTAGAAGACATTCAACATTTGTATACACACACTTGGCTCTCCCACAGAGTTAGAAGAGAACAGCTGCAGAAATATGGAACAAATTTTAATGAAGTCTGTTACAAAGGAATGGTATATGGATTTTAAAAAAGAATATCTACTCTGCAGCAGATAGTACCTGCACCGTAGAGTCCTATTTTACTGGGACCTGATACTTAACTGAACTCAGCATGCTCTAACTGCTAAGAAACACTTGTCTGAGTAGCGTACTTAATTCTTGTGCACATGCAAAGCACATTACACATAATATAGGGAAATAAAAGCTTTTATTTGGAGCTGTTTGCTACACATTACAACAGAGGAAAAGGACCATCTAATTGAGATACATATCTAGAACAAAGACTTATAACAGAACACATGAAGATTTGATTCCAATCAGATTTGTTCTGCTGCACATTTTCTAAAGCAATATATACCACTGACTGCAATCATCTTCTGCACCTAACACAGATCAAATAGACGTGTCTTTATGCCATATGAAAAAAAAATGTTAAAAGGATACAATGAAACAGTGGCCCAAATCTGCTTACCTAGTTATGCTGGCACAATACAAACAGAATCACCTTAGACATTATCAGTTGTGTATTGAGTTATGTGACTCAACTGATAATTGTTCATGTTGATTGCTTTAGTTGGGGAAATTTACCCACAAAGTTATGGCATTTGTGTAGCACAATTACACATGAACTTTGAAGGTGCTGTGGAGCATTTCAGTCACTTTGGAAAGTCTGCAATATACAGTATTTTCATCGAAATGCATCAAAAGGTTAAAGACTCAAAACATGAATCTCTAAGATTAAAAGTTGCTAAGAAATTCCACAATGAAATCTGGTGTGCAGAAATCCTAAGAATGATAAACTTACAAGATGCTCTTTCCTTGGGAGCTTATTTACATGTTTATCTTATTCTGTCTGTTCACCAACAGCAGCTTGCACTCTGGAACAAGTGATAACAGCACAAATGGGCTTGAACTCATTTGCAGCTGAAAGATAAAAATGGTCCTTCTTTCCATACTTAGATTAGCACACACATAAGCATGTCCACATATACGTGGCTTTGGGCCATAAATGCTGTAGGCCACAATGCATTTATTAATCTTGAAAGCACCATCAGATTCTTTACTGTAATAGACTAATATCTTTAAACTGTAACAAACGTTATTTAAAAAGATTCTGTCACACAGTAAGAACATTAGAAGGACCCATGCTCTTGAGTGGAGGGCCTTAACTTTTTTAATAAAAGAATCCATGAAAGTAGTTTGATTCTCACTGCCACCTTTCTATTCAAGCTGGCCTCCACCAATCTTTTATGGTAATGGCATTTCCTGCACCTTCTTACTCTTCAGATAAAGATTCTCCCAGATTCCTGATGGCCTTTATTTAACAATCAATGCCATAAAAAATATTCAACAGTTATCACAGGATATTTTATGAAATTTAGGAAAAATCCTTTTGACATTCTCAAAGGTATTTTTAGCCATAAAAATATAAAAACTGTTCTACAGAAAGACACAAATCTTATTTATTTCCCCAACAACCAAAACAATAATAAATCTTACATCAAATTACTTATTTCCAAAATGTGAACTAGAACAAGAAGGCTATCTTAACATGCTAGCAATGCTTAGCTTGCATGGACCATAGGAGGGTTCCCCAACCACCACCATCAGACAGGTCTCTGTCTGTGACTGGACAAACCTCACCTCCCAGACAAAACACAACCTGAAAATTATAATAAGCATGAAGCAATTTCTATAGTTTAAAAAGTGCCCAAGCTAGATATGAGCATAGATGAACAACTGTTAAATTTTAATTAGATTAGATTACGCATCCTTCAGTCTCGAGAGACTATGGTAACGTGCTCTGTATGGAGGACTTGGAGGCAGTCCCAGAAGCAGCAAAATCAGGGAGCTGGACAGGGGACAGATTGTATTTTTCTTCAGTGTGGAAGGGATTGTCACTCTTGAATTGGCCTTCTCAAACTTTAATATGGCCCAGAAATTTTTACTCATCTCATAGGAATCTGTTGCTATCTCCAATACATTTTGTCAAGGGCAGCCCATGCCCTGAAATTAAAAGGCGCCTTCTTCTTGGGAGGAAAGCGATGACAAATCTTGACAGCATCTTGAAAAGCAGAGACATCACCTTGCCAACAAAAGTCCGAATAGTCAAAGCTATGGTTTTTCCTGTCGTGATGTATGGAAGTGAGAGCTGGACCATAAAGAAAGCAGACCGCCGAAGAATTGATGCCCTTGAATTGTGGTGCTGGAGGAGGCTCTTGAGAATCCCCTGGACTGCAATGAGAACAAACCTATCAGTTCTAAAGGAAATCAACCCTGAATGCTCACTTGAAGGACAGATCGTGAAGCTGAGGCTCCAGTACTTTGGCCATCTCATGAGAAGAAAAGAGTCCTTGGAAAAAACCTTGATGTTAGGAAGGTGTGATGGCAAGAGGAGAAGGGGACGACCGAGGATGAGATGGCTGGACAGTGTCTGCGAAGCAACCAACATGAACCTGACACAACTCCGGGAGGCAGTAGAAGACAGGAGGGCCTGGCGTGCTCTGGTCCATGGGGTCACGAAGAGTCGGACACGACTAAACGACTAAACACATGAAGCAATTTCTATAGTTTAAAAAGTGCCCAAGCTAGATATGAGCATAGATGAAGAACTGTTAAATTTTAATTAGATTAGATTACGCATCCTTCAGTCTCGAGAGACTATGGTAACGTGCTCTGTATGGAGGACTTGGAGGCAGTCCCAGAAGCAGCAAAATCAGGGAGCTGGACAGGGGACAGATTGTATTTTTCTTCAGTGTGGAAGGGATTGTCACTCTTGAATTGGCCTTCTCAAACTTTAATATGGCCCAGAAATTTTTACTCATCTCATAGGAATCTGTTGCTATCTCCAATACATTTTGTCAAGGGCAGCCCATTAAGAGGCAACAGATTTGGCACCAACAAGCCCCTCTCGGGAAGTACTGTAAAGCCAGGCTACTTCAAGAGGACAGACCCTATCCCACGCTGCTATGCTCTTCGTATCTGAAAGTAATGAGATCTGGAGATGGCTTCCAAGGATGACCTTATTATTCAGAAAGGTTGTTGCAGGATCTGATGTACCAAATTTCAGGGAGAGTCAGATCTCATCTGCAGCAGTACTCCCATCCCTTCTCCACCTCACCATTGTTTTCTTTCTTTTTTGGATTTACTTACTGGTCCTCATCCACCCATCACCAGGCAACATTTCTTATTATGAATAAATGGGGGTAAAAGTTTAATTTCATTAGCATACAAATGACACAGTTCTCCTAAATCTTGTTCTGTACTTTGTAGCAGGCTGGCTCCTTACAAAAGTTAAACACAATAGGTAATACACTGTTTATAGTTCTGCAGTGCTTTAACCATGTTTAAATTAGCTGCTTTCGCTAGCATACTGAAAATCCCTTTTTAAGAGCATAAGAGCCCAGCTGGATCAGGCCAAGGGCCCATCTAGTCCAGCTCCCTGTATCTCACAGAGGCCCCACCAGATTCCTCTGGGAGCACACAAGACAACTAGAGACTCCTCTCCTGAAACCCCTGCATTTGGCATTTGGAGGTCCGTTCCTTTTAAGCCTGGAGAGTATACATCCCCATCATGGCTTGTAACCTGCAATGGACTTTTCCTTCAGGAACCTGTCCAATCCCCTTTTAAATGCATCTAGGCCAGATGCCATCACCACATCCTGTGGCAAGGAGTTCCACAGAGTAACAACATGCTGGGTAAAGAAATATTTTCTTTTGTCTGTTCTCACTCTCCCAGCACTCAATCTGAGTGGATGTCCCCTGGTTCTGATACTGCATGAGGGGGAAAAGAGCTTCCCTCTATCCCTCTATTTATAATATGCTGTGGATCTCTTTAAATGTCCCCTTCCAGCTGTCAGTGTATGGTGCATGAGAAAGTGAAAGAGATTTTGATATTGACTCAGAATTGAGAATTTGGGCAGACTCAGAACAGCTCTTTGTAGTCATGCTGCTTTCTCTTCATGGAGAGAGATTTGTTCAAATGTAACAGAAAGGACCAATGCGAATTTTGCTGCTACCTGTCAAGGTTTTCTTCTACAAAGACATTTTATTTGTAATTTCTTGCTAAAGCTAGTCAAATCTAATCACTGCTATGACAGTTCTGGCACTGCTGGCATCCAGGTACATATTTTCAAAAACATTTATTGTTTTGAGTTGCCTGAGGGGAAAAAACTCCAAAAGCATCTCAAACGAAATTCTCTCCAACAGATTTCTTTCCACCATTCCTTATTGCATGTGACACACTTATGGAAACTTTCAGGTTCTCTTTGGATTCAGCTGACTTTCAAGGGATACAGACACTACATGTTCTGAAAAACCTCTAATGCAGAAAAAAATAGACTATTGATTCAGAAATACATAAATGAACTATGGTTCCTTTTGACAGAAGCTTTAATTCCAAGGCTCCGATTAAGAAAACAACTCATATTCTTCTTTCTTTTCTTTTTTTAAATAAAGCGGCTCCCTCGGTTCTGTTAACTGACAACAGAGGAAGAAAAGTTTGAATAAAAGTGCAAGACTCTAGAAGAGACATATGAGGGGAAAACAGTATTTTCTGGAAAAAAATATGCAGAAGAGTTTGGCAAGAGCTTTCTGTACAGCTAAGGAAAAACATACAATTTGAAACACATGTCTGGGAATAGGAAAACAGAGTCTTGGCTTGTATTACCAGCTGTCATACAGTACAGAGGACTCTTAGTCTCTGTAAAGCGCAACTGCTAAAGAGCATTTGTCAGAGGCTATACAGTACAGCAAGTTAGCATATTTATTACCCACTTGCATCAGGAACACACAGATGGTGTGATAACTGGAAGAAACTAGAACTCAAGAATGAGATCCTCGGCTTTTCAGAAGCATTTGGACTCTACTCCCTTTCCATGAATTCCACATTTGAGTGTGTCGATCTGTTATACTCATTATACGGGAGGAGGAAGCTGCTTGGCTGGAAATAAAAGGCAAACTACTTCTGAGTAATCTATACCTAGAAAACTCTATAAAAGTCATCATAAGTCAGAATCAACTTGATAGGACATGATTATTTATTCATTTATTTACTTATAATAGATTATATCTCTATCAATATGCAATGCTAACAGGTTTAAAACACTATACAAACCAATCCGGCTTCTCATAACAGCACATTCCAAAGCCTGGGAACAACCATTGAGAAGGCCTTCTCTTGTGTCCTCACCCAATTAGCTTGGGAAGGTGGTGGAGTCGAGAGAAGGGCCTCCCCAGAAGGTCTTAATAGCTGAGAAGGTTCCTATGGAGTAATAAGATTCTTCAAATACCCTGGAGCCAAGCCATATAGGGCTTTATAGGTAATAATCCGAACTTTGAATTAGTCCTGGTAAAAGACTGGCAGCCGGTGAAGCTACTGTAATAAGGGAGTTACATGCTCCCTGTAACTAGCACCAGTCAGCAGTTTGGCTGAAGTATTTCGTATCATGTGAAGTTTCTGAACATTATTCAAAAGTACATGAGCACACTGCAGTAATCCAAACAAGATGTACCTTAGGCATGTGTCACAGTAGCCAGACTGAACATCTCAAGAAACAGGTGCAACCAGTATACCAGCTTTAATTGTACAAAGGCATTCCTGCCCATATTCATTAGATCACTTTTGGATAGACTAGTTTTACTACAAAACTAGAATGAAAGGTAAGTTTCTTAATCCAGATAGGCATTCTGAAATACCTGTGTGTTTAAACATAGGCCTGAGTCCAAATCTTGATGAAATCAATTGCCTTTATTTCTCCAAGCAGTTCCAAAAAATATACTGCTATCAAAACACTCCATAAATCAACTGCCTGTGAAAGGAAGGTTTTGTTCAAACTAAAATCTAAAGAATGTCCTTGTTACCAACAAGCCAGCAAGCCAGTCTATTCTGTGCTCAGAAGCAGCAGCATCTGGGTGCCTAGCTACATGTATAAGTAAGAAACTGCACACACCTTCCCAGGTACTGGGAAGATGGAGAGTTTAAATGAGAAATCTGTCTTCAGAAGGAAATGCCACTTCATAACATTACTTTACCAGGGTCAAATTACAGCACAATCTGGTAAACACTCAGAAAAAAGTCACCCACTTAAAAGTTTTTCAAAGGGCATTAGCTTTACAACTTACTGCACAAGAAGAAAGAGACAAAAGGAAACACAATTTTCCCACTGGCCTATGTGGCTCAACATCACCCAGCGACTACAAAAGTGATATACTGAAACATCCCTCCATACATGCATTGGCTTGCTTTGACCTACTTTCATGCTTACTTTCACAATTTCACCACGTGTACAGAGATCCAAACACAAAAAGTTAACAAAGGACCCAGGGCTGGAATGTTAGGCTTCTCTAGAAAAGACAACAATGCTGGGAAAGGTTGAAGACAGAAGGAAAAGAAGAAAACTGCTTTCTTTTCCTGTTTTAATACTCACAACAGGATCCCTTTTCACAGGTGGCACACAAGGCAATGCCAAACCACAAAGGAAAGAAACAGATCTTCAAAGAGACATGCATGGTGCCAAACTAGTTTCACTGACTTACTGTAGGCAATGCTTGCATTACTATTGGTTCAAGCTAATTTCAGTTACAGCAAAAAGTCTACTCTTGGATCCATCAGGAAAACCATACCAAGTCATGTTTTCTTGAGTGCCTTTGTTAAGTGGGTGAGATTTGGAAATCAGCTACCCTGACAAGGCACTGTGACTTGCTGCAATGTAACAGTGATTTTATTATAATGTGCAGCTACGCCATGTGTAAAAAAATGCTTTGGCACCATAATACTCCGATTAGCATGCTTCGAAGGAAATCTGGTGGGCCACATGGTTCTTTCCTTGCTAAGGAGTCCAGTTTTGTCAATACATGATCCCCAAACCAACAATTCCTTGCAGTATTTGAATATTTCTGCCACTGCTAGCTCTGTTGAATGCATACACATGCACACTGGTAAATATTACCCAGCTCTGAGAGGTGAGGTCATTTCTCTGGTCAAGCCAGAGGAACCTCAAGCTTTTTGGCTTTGAAGTACAACAAACCTGAAATCACTTCTCATTTATTACAGAAAACCTAACAGAAATGGGTCTTTGCTCACTATTTCTAGGCCCAATGAACTGTATTCAACATATCAAATCCATAATTTACAAGTCCATAATTGGAACTAGGACCAATTCATTTCAGACCAGTGTAGAACAGAGGCAGAGTACAATGGTGAGTTTCTGATGGGTCATGAACGGGAAGCAAGGGTAAGCTTACACACACACAAACACAGACTTTCTCCCTCAAGCTCACAAAGTCACTAAACTGCTGCCAAGCATAGCCTCCTGATAAGAGAATATATTCCTTGGGGAAAAGGCTAGGAGATTCTTTCTTTGGAGCACTTCCTTTGAGAAGATAAAACAGGACAAACAGAAAACGCAATGTTAAAAGAATGGCATGCTTTAAGCCAGTGATGGAGAAATTTTTTGAGCCCGAGTGTCCAAACTGAAAAATAAAACATAACCCAGTGAGTGGTGGTGGCGGCGGAAGGGGGAATCCCGAGCACAAAGGTGCCTCCAGTTGTGCCCAGCCCCACCACTGCCTATAGATTGGCTGGCCCACCAACATCATCGCCAGCTGTTCTGGATCCTGGCCGCTGCCTGTCAAGGTGCTAGCACTGCGACTGCAGCCACCTCCTCAGGTCTGGCTGCCGGGGGGAGCGATCCAGAGATTTAGGGCATATGCCATATGTTCACCATTGCTATTTTGGCACTCAGCCATCCTCAGTCCCCATATAAAAATAGGACTATGAATTATCATTAGGGTGGTAAATGGCAATTTCTATATTTCCTAATAGACATTTAATAATAGATGTACATTAACAAGGAACGAAAAAATGAACATTTTCTGGCTACCGCTGAAAACTTAAGCTGGGGCAAAACAGCTGAGCTCAGCCTCACCTAGTGGCATACTGGATGAAAAAAAGGTAAAACCAAGCAACAATAGCATAGCCTGACCTGCTGTGATGTTACACTGCCTTTTCAAGAAGCTCTTCAATAGTCCTCCTGCCTCAGGGCTTCATCTTTTCTTCATTTGCTTCATTTAGAGGGAGAAAATAATTTCAGAATACCGCAGTTCCCATCCACAGATGGAAAGACAAGCCCTTATTGGAAGCAGCTAAATCTTCCTCTCTACTAAATAAATTGCCTCAGTAAGTAAAACAGTGTAAGAACCTTTAGCACACAAGTTGGAGCAGAATTCTCAGTGCCACCAAATGACATTTTTAGATGCCAGAGCACTCAGAATACTATATAAAACAGACAGAATCTAAGAAGCTCTAGAACAAAAGCAAATGCCTCTCAACAGAATGGAATGTAGAATATGGAATGCCATTTAGGACAAGGCCACAATATCACGTGTTTCATGCGAAACACAGAACTTTCCGCAAAATTGCTTATTTCCTTCTAAGACTGAAAAGGGCATTTCTGGACCCTAGACACAGAACATACTTCCCTGATGGAAGATCAAGAGATCTCTGTCAGCTAGTTATGAACCAGCTTTTACTGTGCATGCTGCTGTTGCAAAACAGCACATACAGTTCAGGTCTAATGACAAATGAAACAAACAAATGGGGAATTCTGGAAGAAGTATATATTTTAAGTGAGTAATATCTGACCATATTGTATGGTTTTTTAATTTTTATTTTGGCCTAGGAAAACATTACTTAGGAAGAGTCTACATTACTACTGTACCTCTGAAATAATGGGAGTAAGACTTGGGAAATCAGCTTTTCCTGAGTCTGAATGCATATTACATTTGGATGTGTCTAATAAGCTCCTTCAGAGCAGCTGCATATGAATGGAATTCATGGGCAGAGCCCTGAAAAACTTGTTTTGCTGGTGAGCTTGATTTAGCACCAAAGAAAAGGTAACTCCTTTCAAGAGGCACTGTGAAAAATAGCTAACAGCAAAACTCTTCTGCTTCCCTCCCTGCTTTTGTGTTCCAGTGTTACAAAAGGTGGGCTGATGAAAACAAGAATGTCTTACGAAGACTTTCAGAATGAACTCTATACAATTGGTAACAAGCTATGGCTGAAGCTCCAAAGACTACCCAAGGCTGAACCTTTGGAGATTGTGTCATTTCTTGTTGTTATCCTATTCATTGGTGAGTACAAAGTTTTCCATGTGCTTGCAACTCACTAAGCCTATCAGGTGTGGTTACTTCATTTTTGTTTTTGTGGAACCTCTCTCATCTCTGGTTTACTCAAAAATTGTAATGTATAGAGCACAATTAAACTGTGTTTCATACAGAGCATGTTACCATAGTCTCTTGAGAGTGAAGGATGCCTACTAGTAAACTGTGTGCGAGACAAAACTGGGAGCAAAGAAGACTTTAGTGTAGGTTTACATTGAGAAATTCTACCATGTGTCAACTGAATGCCATGAGAACTATCCAAATTATGAAAACAGGCATCTAGAAGTCCGAGTTAAATGGAAATATTGCCTGGATTTACATTAAAGTATACACTGATCAGCTAGAACATTAAAACCACTGACAGGTAAAGTGAACGGCACTGATTATATCATTACAGTGGCATCTGTCAAAGGGTGGGATATGTTAGGCAGGAAGAGAGTTAAGTCTTTAATTTCGTATGTTGGAAGCAGATAATATGGGCAAACAAAAAAGATTGAAGTGACTCTGAAAAGAGTCAAATAGTGATGGTTAGATGAATGGGTCACAGCATCTCCAAAATGGCAAGTCTCGTGAGGTGTTCCTGGTATGGACTGATTAGTACCTACCAAAAGTGGTGCAAGGAAGGGCAACCAGTGGATGCGGGCGCCCAAGGCTCACTGATGCACACGGGGAGCAAAGGCTAGCCCATCTGGCTTTGTCACAAAGAAAAGTTATTGTAGCTCTTTATCCTCTGGGCAATGCTCTGCAGGGAAACCTTGGGTCTTGGCATTCATGTAGATGTTACTTTGGCATCTACCTAAAGATTGTTGCAGACCATGTACACCCCTTTATGGCAATGGTGTTCCCCGGTGGCAGTGGCCTCTTTCAGCAGCATAATGCACCCTGTCACAATGCCAAAGTTGTTCAAGAATGGTTTGAGGAACATGAAAAAGAATTCAGGGTGTTGCCTTGGCCTCCAAATTCCCCAGATCTGAATCCAATTGAGCATCTATGGGATGTGCTAAAACGCCATGGAACTTCCACCTCACAACTTGTAGGACTTCAAGGATTAATGTCTTGGTGCCACATACCTCAGGACACATTCCGAGGTCTTGTGAAGTCCATGCCCCAATGCATGGGAGCAGTTTTGGCAGCATGAGGGGGACCTGCACAATACTAGGCAGGTGGTTTTAATGTTGGGGCTGATCAGTGTAGCTATAGTGAAGCAGTACTGAAACCTACAGTTTCAATTGTCACAGCCATGAGCTCCCTCCTCATCTAATTATGGATTATTCTCCATAATCAAAATCTCCATGGAGGATATTTTAGGAAAGGGAAGGATTGTCTGTTTCTACCCAGTTTCTCCAGGTACAGAATAGAATCCGAAACATGCTTCAGAATCTGCATTAAAGTTTCATGTCATTAAAAGAGAAGGAGGATCAATTTACACAATCATCTAATTCAGGAGGATCTCAAATCCTTTGGGTATCAATTTCAGGGAGCTGAAAAGGATAGAGCAGAAGCAGGGATGACGAGTTGTGCATTTTTTAAACATAATCCCTACTGCATAAGCCTAAATCTGAATCAAGCCAGTTAGTTGTTAGTGCCAGTTACTGTAAAGCAGAGCTGGCCAAAATTTCAAAGTTTAAAGTCATTCAAAACAGCCTCAGGGGATTTGAGTGACACAGTCTGTGTTAGGTCTCTTGTGTGTCTTCCCTCGACTACACACTGTATTCACTACCACTAGTTGCCTATATGTACTGTATCTTCCAGCCACCTCTTGCTCTTCCTATTTGGTCTCAAATTCTATTCATTTTATTATGTAACCTGCTCCACTGGCTCCAATGAGGCACCTCCTGGTTCCCTTTACTATCTCAGCTTATCTGCATTTTGCGAACACATTACTTTGAGACAAATATTGAGAGACAATTATCAATCATGTCTACTACTATCTCCCTCTCTCAATCCAACCTCCTTGTCAGGCACAACTGGGAGAACGAAGGGGACATTTTATTGTTAAAACCAAACAATCAAGAACATTCACCTCCATCTCACAGCTTGGACCTACTGAGGTACAGCTCTTGCCACTGGCAATTATTGTGCTGTTTCCTTAAGTAAATCCAGAGGACAGGAAACATATCTGACAGCCATGTGTCCATTTCCAGCTACTCCACTACATAATAAATTGGGTTTGTTCTAATTTTGGGCTAGCACTTCCAGAAGCTAATAGTCCTCTTTTTCACTTCATTTCCCAGCTACCGTCCTTTTAATGATGATCATAGCTTGCAGCTGTTGCTGTGCCCGCTGCTGCAATGGAAGGCCCCAGCCCAAGGGGAGGAGGATTCAAGTTCAGCCAACTGGCCATGCGTAAGAATGCATTGAGAGGAATATGTGGACATTCAGAGGAAAGGATACAAAAAGACTGCTGTAAGCTGGCACAGGAATCACCTTTACAGCAGTCCACAGAACAGAATGATATATGGGAACATCAAGGAAAGGAAAAGAGAGAAGACAAGAGAGGTTCAAACCTTCACTGGACTAGGTTTGTACATCAAGGCCACATGAGACAGTGACAAAACCACCGAATTCACAGTATTTGTCTCTCTGCCCTATTAAGACACTAAAAAGAACCATGTTACCATCAAGATACTATGACCATAGTGTCTCCGCTGGCAAGGGGATAAAACTAAACATACACAAAACTGCCAAACACGCCATAAGCAAACCTGGATGGATGAAGGGAATTTCTACTTCTTTTTACAGGAGGAGTTCCAGAGAAACACTAAGTACCAGAACGTCCCCTGAATTCCAAGCTACGTGCAAATGCTTAGCAGAGTGAATTACAAGGGGAACATTGTTTCCTCCTGCTGTCCAACTGTCTCTACAGCCAAGAATACCACAGCATATGAGGTCTGACCAAGTCATTCATTCAGGAGAAAGGATGACACAGCCTTGCAGTTGATACATGAACCCAGAGACTGCAAAGAAAAGCAGCAACAAATCCTCCACATGTCCTTAACAAAGGAAGGCCAAGTGCCAAAGAGCAAGTATATTACTTGCAATAATCACTGCCTGCGCAATGATGAGAGTGAAAAGATATATAATCTCTAAAATACTATATTTTGGCCTGTCTGCCTTAAAGGGTGATGCCTTACTCCTTTTTTAAAAACAGAAAAAGAAAAAAAGTTGTGTTTTTTGGTGTTTACTTTTCTAATACAAATTTTGTGTGTATTTTACTTAATTGATTCATTACAAACCAAACTTTAGAACAAGAAAGGAGAATAACTAAACCATACTTTCCACTGGTATGTAGAATTTATAGGTAAATATGTTCCTGAAAAAGAACATTCCTGTGAATTGCTTAGTCACACACCACATCCTAGGAGGCTTCCAAAAAAGGGGATGAAGACAAACTCACATTTCAGAGTCCCTTTTAGGTTACTCAAATGAAGGGTGTCAAAATGTCCCATTCATTGGGGCCTGTAGTTTATAGCACATTTATTCACAGAATTACACAAGCTGCAGCGAGGGTTGTGTTAATTTAGGATATGTGTGCAGCAGCTGGGTGTTGGCATTATGACAAACAGTAGAGTAAAAGTACAGCCAAGAATGAACTGCCCAGCTACAGTTTACAACTGAAAGTAGAATTACTTATCCTAAAAGACAGCCTTGTGTATTAGGTTTCTACTCCACTGAACTTCAAAGGGGGTTGCATGTGTACAGGACAGAAACAACGGAGCCTGACAAGTGCAAGCAGAAAAAGTGATCTGGAGGTGGTGGGGGTGATAATTATTTGTTAAAATCTACTGAAGCATCTGTACTGCTCCTGTAGCATCAAGATAATGTATGGGTAACCTCTTACATTTATTGACCTTTCTATCTAAATTAGCCAAAACTGTCAAGCCAGTAGCATGTCACAAGGACACACATTATTTGTGTAGTAGTACTGAAATATTTTCACTGCTACAGACCTGTTCCTGCCACGTAATGATCGGAGTGATCATTAAATGAGGAGCAATGATGCTCAGAGTGATAAAATAAGCATGCATTTCCTATTGAGGTAGATTTACAGGACAACAGTATTGAACAGTTATAATTTAACAAATATTTAAGTACATCTTACAGCCATTAAGGTTTAATCAGGGTATGGGATACATTCTTCTCCCCTGACGTGTGCCAAAAGTTATAAGCAATAGCTAAAAGCTTCCATTGATAGTTTTGTGTTTTCATTTTTCCTGATCGATAAAGACTGCACTTGACAAAGAAGCCTCTAACAAGCGCTAACTATTCCCTAAAAGATTTTTGTAGTGTTCCTCCATTATTCTATGATTCTGTGTTGGTCTAGACATTTCAATCTAGCAAGACTTTGCTTTGCTTTGAAATGTTTAGACCAACACAGAATCATAGAATAATGGAGATGGAAGGGTCTATAAGGCCATCAAGTCTAACTCCTTGCTCAACGCAGGAATACAAATCAAAGTATATCTGACAGATGGTTGTTGCACAGATGTTTCTGCAAGTACAGCAGGAAAACCACAAATCAGAGAAAAGGGATCCTGGAAACCACAGACAGTGCTAACCATCAGAAAGTCAGGACACTTGATATCAGTTATACTGCTAAGAGTAGATGCTGAATCTCATTCTCTGTTTCTTCGAGCAGTGATGATCACACTACAGCTAGGAAAGCAACAGGAGAAAGAAAACGTGTTCATAACATCAACAATCTTTGTAGGAATAGCTGAAGTGGAATGTTCTAGGAGTGACTATATTACATTAGTAAACAGAATTCAGATAAAATAATAGATTCATAGAGTAATGAAACAAAACTGAGTGTGACTGGCCATGAGTTACAACCATGTGGGCCTATCTGTATGTTACAAGTTCTGGTAACATGTGCAAAGCAATCATATGGTCTGGATAAAACACAGAATTACCTCCCAACTCAGTACAAATGTCTAGTGATAAACTATGGTACAACTTTCTCAACTGCAATAGGCTGATGGTATATCAGATATTCTGGTCCAGCAGTTTTAACATGTGCACATATATATTGTATATATGAATCACTACTGCAGAACTTTTTGAACCATGAAGCTGAACATAATTCAGTATCTGCTTACCATGCCTAGAACCATGCCTAGATTATTCTTCCCCTCCAGCTTCCAAAATTCCAGGAAAGTTGCAAAAAACAAACCTATCAAGCCCTAAGTTGACTACTGGGCAGGGTTGCTACTCTTATGCTTATTCTGCCAAGCCATTCCATATGCAGGCCTGCATTAAGCCAACTCTAAGCTTGTTCCTGGAGCCTTAAAGCTTGTCCGAGATATATAATTCAACTCTTCTTCATTTGTTTAAAAAGGACTACAGAGAGTGATCAAAAGGAAGGAACCTATTTATATTGGGTGTGCCTTGTTTTAGGAGTCATTCCCTCACAGAGAAGGGCTGGGACAGAAAAGCAAAACCAGCAATCATACAAGTAGGAACCAAGATTAACTCGACTTCAAAACACAGCTGCTTCTCTAAACATGCACAGCAGGCACAAGTCTAGAGAGCAAAAGACCAACACAACATAATGATATAACAATGCTTTCTCCTCTCAAACATTTCTGGGTCTACTAAGGATGGAGTCTACACAAATGCAATCAATAGATGAGGGAGGAACTAGACATGCCATGGTATCATTGTATATAGGATCTCACATGGTCTTTTATAAATGCTATGGCACCCAGTAGTTGCTTTGAAGACTGGGGAAGACATGTTTGTCTGTCCCATTCCCAACAACTACACTCATCATCTACCAATTCTTTAAGGACTAACAGTCTTTCTCCTGTCTTCAAATCAGACACCTGGGGCTCCCAATTACTGGCAAGGGGAGGTTTAAAGACTAGCTTAGGCATTTTCACTGCTTATTATATATTATTGCTTTTGTTAAGTAATTCTAAAATACACATTTGCATAAAGTTTATTGCTATAACATATGTTTACAAAATCTATATAACACCAAACTACTAGACCAATGCCCTGTACTTGAAATAACTGGTTTAAATGCCCTCTAAAATGTTCATTACCTATGAAACCCTATTTAGATGAGAAGTCAATAAAGATAAAATGACAGTTTATACATTATTCTAGAGTACACATCCATGGACATGAATAACTCTTCTCATATTCTACTGCAGTGGTTCTTAACCTTTGTTACTCGGATGTTTTTGAACTGCAACTCCCAGAAAACCCAGCCAGCACAGTTGGTGGTGAAGGCTTCTGGGAGTTGCAGTCCAAAACTCCTGAGTAACCCAAGGTTAAGAACCAGTGGTCTACCTCACCATATCAATGCAAGTAACTAGCAATCACTACTGAATATGTCTTAATTTCCAGTCATCAGAGTCATCTACTATTACTCTGGCTTTGAATATCTCAGCTAAGCAGTCTGGGTTACAGTAATGAGGAAACCATGGTTATTTTCAGAAGGCTTGTTTCAACGCTGTGCTATATTATTCAGGAGGCTAACATTCTAACCAGACTGTAAAGGGACTTCAGATTTTTCTGAGGGATTTTTCAAAAACATTTAATATTAGCTCTATACTGACACACTTAAAATTAGCTGTAATTGTTCCTGATTACAGTGTAAGGTTCACTGAAAAATACAAACTTAGTGTACTTAAACAGTAACAAATTAAGTGACAGTGTGCCACAACTTATTAAGACAGTGACTGAAGATAAAAATACAGCTCCACATGTGCAACTAGGATGTCAGCACCATCAGCAATTTGCCACTGATTAAAGGCTTATTTTGGCAATTTCACATGGCCTCCCTGCACTGTGTATTATTCACAAAGTGCCCTGAAACTGCCCTGAATTAGTGGCAATTTGCCACTGCTGTGTAACAGGATTTCAGCCTATGTATGGTTTTATCACATCGTAAGAGAGATACTGGAGACTGAAAAAGTGCAAAAGAGAACTAATAAACATGATGGAAGAACTGGTATGAGACTGGAGAACATGGATTCTTTAATGCTACATTGTGGTGAGGGGGCTTACTGCTAGGGCAGAGAGGGATACCTCCTTTCCCCAAGGCTATGACTTCAAACTTAATTTTCCCCACAGCTATGAAGAATTTTTAAAAGTATCAGTTGGGACTGATGGAAGCTTTGGAAACAGTCCTCATTCGAATGAGAAGTTGTGTAAGAAATAACACATGAATGGTGTCTGAGAAATCACTCTTGGGTGGGGTGTTCATGTCAGAAGCAGAGCTCTGCCTCCAGCATGGTGCCATTCAGTGTTGTCATGTGGTCCTCGTAGCAAGACCAAATGAGGTCCCTCACTCCTGGGCTGAAGCATTCCTTGGGAGAGGGTGGGGAAACTTGTGAGGGCTACAGCTCCACAGGCCTGCCCTAGGAGGAAAGGCTGAAGTGACGTGAGAGTTTTCGCTAAGAGAGAGAAAAAAAGACTATGCAATCCTATACCCAATAACTTAAAAGAGTAAGCCCCAATGAGCTCAATGGACTCTACTTTTGAGTAGTTACACAAAAGATGGCATTATAATAGAGAACAGATGCAGATAATGTCGCATTTGATTAAAGTGACACATGTCTTAGTTACATCCCGTTTGGATTACTGTAACATGCTCTATGTGGGGCTGACTTGGAAGGAAGTTCAGAAACTTCAGCTAGTGCAAAGCTCAGCCAGACTACTAACTGGGGCCAGCAACAGGGAGCCTATAACGCACCTGTTACAAGAATTGCACTGGCTACCAGTCCGTTTCTGGGCCCAATTCAAAGTGCTGGTCATTACCTATAAAGCCCTATCATTATCATTATCATTATCATTATCATTATTATTATTATTATTATTATTATTATTATTATTATTATTATTGAATTTCTGTAGAAAGGTACAATTCCAAATGAAATGGGAGAGTAAGCAGATATGATGGCTAGAAAGACCCCCATATAATTACTAGCTTCTGTGGGGCAAACTGGGGCTGCCATGTCCTGTAGCTGTAAGCTTACCAAGCAAATGTACCTGGTCATAATTGAAAACTGGGTATCGATCATGACAGCTTTGAGTTTGATATAATACAGTTTGAGACATAAAT